ATATTTCGAAACTCCTTCCTTCACCTGAAGGAGTTTCATGAACCTCATAAGCCGATGATTGCTTGATATTGGCGTCTGGCCAGGATTTTGATGATCTTTGTCCGACGCAATTGAGAAGCTACAGGCCTGCCAAAACACAGCTCTTAGGACCGCGACAGGAAATCTTCTGACGTCACATAAGCATCACTGAAGTGTGGTAGCAAAAGTTAAGAAGCATAATAATATGCTGTGTTAGCAATTCTCAAAAGGTGACTTAGACTAAGTAACCTCTCCCTAAGCGGGTAGAACAATCGCTAGAACAACGGCAACTTGCATTCGCTACTTACATAAAATTTTTCCGAGTTTAAGGCTGTCCGGCCACAGAAAATGTCCCGCAATAAGTGAGGTAATTTTAAATATTATTTTAAAGAAAGTTATCGTAAACCTGACCTTTATACTATAAAATAGAGCTTAAGACTTTTTTTGAACATTTTCGAGCTTCTCGAGCATTTGAGCAACATTTACTCGCACACTCGCACATTGCTCATTACTCGAAAATTTTCGGGCATTTTGAAAAAAAAATTTACTTTTCCCAGAACTTTCTTCTCTAATTTTGATTTTATCTATGCAAAGTGTAAAACTAAACAAACAAACAAAATTTAAATTTAGAAAGTTTCAAACCATCATTTGGGCAGCTGACCAACTAACGAGTATCGAGCTGCTCACAGTGCACACCTAACATATAAATTTCTCGTAGCGCAATCACAGTGTTAGACACGATACTTCTCCGAACGGCTTGACCAATTTTAATGAACTTTTATGTGCATATTCAGTGGGTCTGAGAATAACATAACATCTATTTTTCACACCGGGAAGAGGACCTGGGACTGATCTATTCGAAACGATCTTATAATAATCTTAATCGATTTACTTGAAATTCGGTACATAGGTGGCTTTTTACTTAGATTAACAGAAAGACTCTTCTTCTCTCAGGGAAGAGGATCAGGGATGGACTTATTCAAAAAATGTATGATTCAATTTACTTGAAATTTGATACATAGGTATCCTTTTGCTTAGTTTAACAAGAACATTACTTTTGTTTCCAGGAATAGTACCTAGAACCGATCGTTTCGAAAAAATCGTTTCTATGGTTTGGATTAATATATAAAAATTTTCGGAACCTGACCAAGAGTCACCGAGCAAATATTTCATTGGCTTGGTCCATTCCATAACCCGATAGATGGCATCATTCGCATTCAACTCTATCGGCAAGCGATTCATGCGAGATTATCTTAGTTAGGATTAGTAGATATTATGCGCAAAGGACCATAAATCTTACGCAACACCTTTGTCTGGAAAACTCCTAACGCTGACTTATCAGAACTTGTGTTGTTGTTGTTGTTGTTGTAACCGCAAAAATATTTCCCAACTTATTGAGGAATTTTGCGGGAGTGACAGTCCTTGGCCGGATAAAAATCCGGGTCGTTCCGGTATAAAGACCTGACTGTCGCGGGAACTATTGGATTTTAGTCGCCTCTTACTACAGGCAAGTCTTACCGCGGGGTCCATGCTGCCGCACCATATAGCAGAACGGGAACGATGAGGGACTTGCAAAGCCTCGGAGAGGTCCTTCCCGGTCCTGACGGAACTTTTAGTGTTGCTCAAGGTCAGTTTACATAGCCGTATATGTTTAGCGAGTATACCAAATTCAGACATAGCGGAGTAAAGGCATCTCCTATTCGTGCACAAGGTACCAGGTCTAAAGCCACACTGATAGGGTACAATCAGTTTGCTAACGGTGGCTTTAGTCTTTCCCACAATACGATCGACACGAACATATAGGCGATATTAAGGGGGCTTATTCTACGATAATTGGCGCAGACTATGGGGTCTCCTGTTTTGTGGATTGAGCAGAGCACACTTAAATTCTAATCGTCTGGCATGCTTTCCTTCGACCATATTCTGCAAAGTAGCTGATGCATGCACCTTATCAGCTCTTCACCGCCATGTTTGAATAGTTCTGCCGGTAGGCCGTCAGCTCCCGTCGCTTTTTTGTTTTTTAAGCGAAAGATTGCTATTCGAACTTCTTCATGACCGGGTAATGGAACGTCTTTCCCATCGTCATCGCTTGTGGTTTCGGGCTCCCCATCTCTTTTTTTGTCTGCAGATGAGTCCTGCTTCTCTCATCAGCTGTCGGTATCTATCCCAATCCGCACGTGTTGTGGTCGTTCGCAACGTTGCGAGGTAGGCAGTCTGTTTTCTCTCCACTGCGTCAGGGTAGTCCTCATCGTACCAGTTGTTTTTGCGACCTTTACGTAATCCATCCAATAGCTTCGTTTGCAGCTGTACGTAGGGAGCTTGAAATGCCATCCCACAGTTCCCGTATACCGAGTTGTTGATTAGTGCTCTAAGAGAGTAGGAGTGCAAGTTGAGCAGAAAACCTCTGGTCAGTCTGTTGTGATTGCAGCTTTTCGACGACGAACTTTCCTTGTCTTTGTTGACGGGCGTTTTTTTTTGACACACAGAGGTGCATGCGTATCTTCGCTGCAACAAGATAGTGGTCCGACTCAATGTAGGATCCTCGGAGTGTACGCACGTCTATAACAATGGGGACATGTCTTCCACAACATGATCGATCTGGTTTTGTGTTTTCGGTGGACAGCTAAGCAACTTTATGTCCTTTTTTGTACTGCAATCTAGTACAACATACAACCATATTTCGAGCAAAGGTAAAGTCGATCAGCCTCAGCCCACAAGGGGATGTTTCGTTGTGAAGGCAGAATTTTCGAACAGTTGTCCCAAAGATACCTTCTCGACCCACCCTGGCATTAAAATCGCCAAGCACGATTTTCACATTGTGTCGGGGCAGCACTCGTAAGTATGCTCTCAGCGCTCATAAAAGGCATCTTTGGCCAAGTCATCCTTCTCTTCCGTCGGGGCGTGGACGCAAATCAACGATAGGTTGAAAAATTTCGCTTTGATGTGGATTGTGGCGAGACCCTCATTCATCGGAGTGATTGCCAGTACTCGACGACGGAGTCTCTAAGTTCGCTGGGTCTGCTAATTGACGCTTTGTAGCCGCAGAAGCGATTTTCGGCCGAGCTCCTCCTCCAATTTGTGCGTTTAAGTCTTTATGTTTATCCAACAACAGTTTATAACAACCGCTTCCGAACAGCTGGTTTTTTTTTTTTATGAGGAGCCTTTATTTCTTGTCAGAAATACGAATACACTCGGAGGTGTTGACATGCCTTGCCGAGGGGCACCCCAATTAGAAAAAAAAACATAATTTTTTATTTCAATTAATTTTCCATACCTTTGGATGTTGGTGGTACGAGGTTATAAGCTGTAATAAAGTTAATAACGGAAAACCCGCATAAAAACCTTGGCAAACTCTAGTACATAAATAATTTTTTTAGGTGTTGGCCGGATCAGGAGGTGGCCTTTTGGGTGGCTGTTTACAATACTAACCATTAGGCTATCGTTGCCACCAACCATAATATGAGTACTCTTTACTGAAGTTAATACCATTTACGTAAAATTACTAGAAAAGGCAAGAGAAATATTAAATCGGATAACTGTACTTGCTCTAACTTTGTTCCAATTATCACATAATCTATTGGGTTGCCCAAAAAGTAATTGCGGATTTTTCATATAGTCGCCGTTGACAAATTTTTTCAACGGCTTGTGACTCTGTAATTGCATTCTTTCTTCTGTCAGTTATCAGCTGTTACATTTAGCTTGCTTCAGAAAAAAAGTGCGCGAAATTTTGTTTACATTTGTTTGTTTGGCGTCAATTTTAATATGGAGCCCACAAAAGAGCATTTTCGTCATATTTTACTTTATTATTTCCGTAAAGGAAAAAACGCGGAGCAGGTTGCTAAAAAGTTACGAGATGTGTATGGTGATGAAGCCTTAAAAGGAAGACAGTGTCAAAATTGGTTTCGCAAATTCCGTTCTGGAGATTTTTCACTTAAAGATGAGCCACGTTCAGGTCGGCCAAATGAAGTTGATGATGACCAAATCAAAGCATTAATCGAATTGGATCGTCATGTAACTGAGCGTGAGATAGGAGAGAAGTTAAATATACCAAAATCAACCGTTCATTATCACATAAAAAGTCTTGGACTGGTGAAAAAGCTTGATATTTGGGTACCACATGTATTGAAAGAAATTCATTTAACACACCGAATCAACGCTTGTGATATGCACCTTAAACGCAATGAATTCGATCCGTTTTTAAAACGAATCATAACTGGAGATGAAAAATGGATTGTTTACAACAACGTTAGTCGAAAACGATCATGGTCCAAGCATGGTGAACCAGCTCAAACCACTTCAAAGGCTGATATCCACCAAAAGAAGGTTATGCTGTCTGTTTGGTGGGATTGGAAGGGTGTCGTATATTTTGAGCTGCTTCCAAGGAACCAAACGATTAATTCGGATGTTTACTGTCAACAATTGGACAAATTGAATACAGCCATCAAGGAGAAGCGACCAGAATTGGTCAATCGTAAAGGTGTCATATTCCACCAGGACAACGCTAGACCGCACACATCTTTGGTCACTCGCCAAAAACTGAGTGAGCTTGGCTGGGAACTTTTGATGCATCCACCATATAGCCCTGACCTTGCACCATCAGACTACCATTTATTTCGATCTTTGCAGAACTCCTTAAATGGTAAAACTTTCGGCAATGATGAGGCTATAAAATCGCACTTGGTTCAGTTTTTTGCAGATAAAGGCCAGAAGTTCTATGAGCGTGGAATAATAAATTTGCCAGGAAGATGGCAAAAGGCTATCGAACAAAATGGCAATTATATATTTGATTAAAGTTCATTCTAAGTTTTATAAAAAATGCATTTACTTTCTTTTAAAAAATCCGCAATTACTTTTTGGGCAACCCAATACTTGCTTTCAGGGCATCTTATTCTCCGATCGTTTGAAAGAGCCAACCCATAATTACGTCTGGTTGTAGTATTACCACTATAAAGCAATTTAAAGGTTCAAAGAAGACACCAGAGTTTATGTTTAATATTATATTATTTTTATTAATTGCCTTCCGTTGCGATGTCCAATATACTTTCAACGAAGTACGGCCCTTCGTTTACATAAGTACGTAATTGCAGATTAATTTGTGCATCAAAAACGTCGCTATCTGCTACCGCACTAATTATTTCGTATTTTACGTACTTCGCCTCCTTGTCAAACTCAACGTTGCGATCCAGTAAATATTCAATGAAGCCGGCAGTGTTTTTTAAGGCTACTATGCCCCATCTATGATGGCAAACTGATTTAATGAATCTTAAACATGACACTTTGATATCAGGAAAAGGATTCCGACAGTAATCCATCAAAAATTGCATGCTCTCTCCACAGGCTAGATATGTAAACCATTTTCGCAATATTTTTCTGTAAAAATAAAAAAGACGGCATTGAAATAGAGCACTGTAGTACAGATAGAGTTGATACCGAAACGCTATATTTAATTTATAATATGTTTGCGTATCCAAGATTTATAGATTAAAAGGTCGCGATTTGATTTTTATATAATCAGAAGAAATAATTTTTTTCTTTATGAAATGTACAGTTTGTCAAGGATGAGTTTTCACACTGCAAAAAAAAAAACTCTTTTTCAACTTAAGTTGCATATATATGTATATACTTCATTTTATTAGCTTATTTTAAAATTTTGTTGTCAAATACAGTTATTTACATTATTTACCACGAATTCATAAAGAAAACAAATTAGTAAAGTGCAAAAGATGTGAAAAACACAACAAGAATATTTTTCGCATGTACACATCAAATATAAAAGAATTTAGTTTGAAAAAAAAAAATGCCTGGAAAAGGGGTCATCGTTTGATGTGGTTCAATTGATTTATTATAATCACGAATTAGGTAAAAGTATTAAAGAACTCGCGGAAATGTTTTCAGTCACGAAGAGAACCGTTTTGGAATTTCGAGCGTTCGTTTACACCAACACTGAATGATTTTCGTTTTTGACTTTTCGAAACTATAATAACACAAACAAAATACATAGGTTTTTTGTTTTTGTATTCTTGCTAATAATTAACTCCACCTTGTTAACACAAATTATACAATTTTTGTTTTGAACATACGCCACTACTGTCACAGATTTAGCGATTTTTTATTTAAAAAAAAAGGCGCAAAAATTAGGAAACATCAAGTAACTGTGCTAGGCCTGGCTTGTTTTGATTAAACCAGGGCCCAGGTGCCCGAGGACCACCAAATTTGAATAAGAGTGAAGTTAATTCGCAATACTTCATTGTTGCAAGTACATACATATGTATAGATAAATGAATCTACACGTATATATATATTTTTATATTTAAATACAAACTTTTATATTTTATTTATATTAATAAAATTTATTTAAAAAAATTTCTTTTTGTTTGATACTGAAAATTATAATAATAAAAAAAAAGAAAATATCTCAAACTTAAAATTCAGTAAAATAAAAACTGAAAAATTTTCAAGTTAAAAATGATAAAGTAAATATATAATGTATTTTTTTAATATCAATGATTATAAATTTTCTTATTATGATCTTGAAATGAAAATGTTTTGTTAGCTCCAACATTGTCTAAAGTCGTGATAGTGACACTGATTGACGGTTTTATATCAAAATGTAACGTGGGTTTTTTAACATTTTAATCAATCTTACCCTATATCAGCATTGCTCTCCTTGAGAAAAACTATTTCCAAAGCATTAAAAGCTCTATTTTTCAAATCTGTTGGCAGACTTCTTAAATATGATGCAATAGATTCGAACGTTTCTTTAATTAGCGCGGGATAATTTTGATCCAAAAGTACTATCCCCTTATAAGATTGTGTAAGATTAGCTAAAATTAGAAGCCAATTGTGTCAAATATATAAATTTTATTTTTTGATATGTAATTAAAAATTCTTACCGAGTGCGTCAAACGCTGCAGGTAATATCGATTCTTTTCCAGAAAAAATGCTTTCAAATAAACATTTTATCATATGTGGGTAATCAATGATTAATTTCTGAGGTTGAACTGAGGCGGCTTTGCTAAAAAATTTCATTATGCCGGGAATGAGCAGTTCGTCTAAGGGGTTTTGAGAAACATTTTCTACACGCCTACCAATTATTTCGAATACTTTTCTATTTTCTAAGTAAAGTAAACCATGATTCTGTTCTGCGAGTGATACTAGTATTTCAAGAATGTTCACTTGCAAAAGTACATCATCATTATCAAGCTCTGACAAAGCATTATCGAGCAGAAACTCTACCTGTTGAAGTGAGGTAGGCGATTCTATTGCAACGCTCACCGCAAGTTCATATATACGGCACTTTACAATTTCATTTGTGGATAACATATCTAATAACTGTTGTTTTAAATGATCATCGATATGTCGCGCCAAAGAAATTTTTAAAATTTCTAAAGCTGGTACTCCGACATTACTGGCCTCGTGTTGTAACCCATTTAATATATGTTTAAGGAGCCCAATAGGTATTTGAACATCTTTGTTATTCATGAAATTCATTTGGAATTGCTTTAAAATGGTATTCAAAATAATGGCTTTAATGTCGGGCTTCGAATTAGATAAAGCCGTCTCTAATATCACAAATGTATTATTTTGTTCAATTCGTAGGCGTGACATGCATATTGACAATATTTCTTTAGCAAGATCATAATGTTGACTACTTTCTTTTCCATCCAAGCATTCCCAAAACTCTGGAACACTGAGTAAGCGGGTAGCCACTGATGATTCAAATTCAGCACCAGCCAAATCTTCATTTCCATACAAACGAAGTCGTATATCCGCTAATATTGACAACCGATTCTCCCGGTTGCTTAAATTTTGTATCTGTTCGCAAAACCAACTTTCACTCATTTTGTATCGTGAATATAATTTGCAGACAAATAATATGCTTTCCCTTATTCTTAAATTATAACGAAAAAGACAATTCACACTATCTGACGTTTTTCTTTAATCATAACAACGACGTTGCCATGTTGATGTATCTTTTTCGAACTCGTTAGTCTTACTCCACGTTGTCACCAAGAATAATGTATCTATTTTTCCTTCATAACCTCGATTATACCTAATACCCTTAAAGTTCAAACACTGGGTTGGTAACTAAAATTATCATTCTATTGTAAAAATTTTGTTTAAACACGCCTTAAAGGTTTCACAAATCCTTCGATCTCGATCACTGGATTGTTAAAAAAATGTCAAGAACTTTGAAATGAATGGCGCAATGTTACAAATTTCGCTATAATCGCGTAACCGTAACCGGCGCCAGTAAAAAAGAAGAATAATATTGAAACAAGTTGTGTAAACTATTTGATTATTTTCCTGTACCTAATGCATTCGATGCATCGCTTGTGATTTTTCTGTTTATGTAAGGTACATATTTTGAAGGTCTTTGCTATTTTGCAGTGAATTTAATAATGTGATCCGTAAAAAAAAAATACAGCTTAGTAAGAAATTTTATTTTTATTACCGCAAAGGAAATAATTGTTAACAATCCTTCTATATTTTTGCGATTAGATGTAAATTTTATTTTCCCACTTTTATATATTTATTCTAGAGTTATGATTATGAATGTGCTTTATGAGTTTTACATATTTTCTAATCATATATTCATTGCACTTTAAGTTTCAAAATAATCTTAAAAAATAAAATGTATTTTTTAAGTTATATATTTCTTATCACAAAAAAATTGGTTCAAGTTGTTTTGAGCTTAACGAATTTGCTGTAAATATCGCAGCGTCCATCTAATAAATGGTAAATGATTAGATCTTTTTTTTTTAAGCTAGCCATTCAACAATCAACTTTTAGATACATATGCATACAATTAAGATATATTTCCAAAAGTTCTCCGGATGAAAAAAGATATTTAGCACAATAATTTACATACTTGCAACAGTTATAAAGTGAACTTGTTGGTGACAACGTAGGTGTTAAGCGAAAATGGTAACGTGTTCGAGTTGACAAATATGCCATTACGTACAATAACTCAAATTGTAATTTTTTGAGAAATAAACAAATGTTGATTAATTGTGTCACAATTAAAAAATTGTACAAGTTTGGTGAGTTTCATTTAAAAATGCACTGAGCGGCGTTGCAGGGTTTCGGAAACCATCGATGCGAATTTACTAATACAACATTATTTTCGCAATGGTTACCGATAAGTTGTTTCGGGCTCCGATAAGTATGGTGAAATAATATAATCGTTATCGTTGGAGTTGACTTTTCTATCAGTTTTTTTCCACCTCTATTTCGCTCGACGCCATTTTTCTGGTAGTATTTAGTTGTCTTAAACGAAAATCAAGTGTAAATTTTAACGGAGCAGATTATAATGTCGCAACGGTTTGCTCCTGGTCAGCCGGGATCCGCTCCTGTTCCTGGCCAACCTCGGTATCAGCCGCCGCCTCCTCAAACGTCTGGTATGCGTCCGTATGCAACTGGAGGAAGTTTTCCAGTAAGTATTTGTTAGTAATCGATAGAACTTTTTAATTTAAATATTTTACACAAACTACAACACATCAGCAACGTGGATTTCCAATACATCAAAATCCTCCTCAACCCGGTCCAGGCAATGCGAATTCACCCGGTGGACAACCACTTCATCCACGGACATCTCAACCGGGTTTTCAAAGTGGATTGCGGGGAAGTGGTTCGGGTGGGGGGAACAAACGCTCAAATGAAACTCGTAATATTAACAGCAACCAAAATAAAGCAGATTTCGTGTCGGCAAAGAAAAAGAAAAAACTTGCAGATAAAATATTGCCTCAAAAAGTAAGAGATTTAGTTCCAGAGTCTCAGGCATACATGGATTTATTAACATTTGAGAGGAAGTTAGATGCCACTATCATGAGGAAACGTCTTGATATTCAGGAAGCATTAAAGAGACCAATGAAACAAAAGCGAAAGTTACGCATCTTTATATCGAATACATTTTACCCTTGCAAAGAACCAAGCAACGACGGAGACGAAGGTTCTGTTGCTTCATGGGAGTTGCGGGTTGAAGGTCGCCTATTGGAGGATGGCAAAGGTGATCCTACCACTAAAATAAAAAGGAAATTTTCTTCCTTTTTCAAATCTTTAGTAATTGAATTGGATAAAGAGTTGTATGGTCCTGATAATCACTTAGTCGAATGGCATCGTACACACACTACCCAGGAAACTGATGGCTTCCAAGTGAAACGTCCAGGCGACAGAAACGTCCGATGCACAATTTTACTTCTACTAGATTACCAACCATTACAATTCAAGTTGGATCCAAGATTGGCTCGTCTTCTTGGTGTTCATACTCAGACTCGGCCAGTAATAATTTCAGCATTATGGCAGTATATTAAAACACACAAATTACAAGATGCACATGAAAGGGAATATATAAATTGTGACAAATACTTAGAGCAAATATTTGGATGCCAACGTATGAAATTCGCTGAAATACCCCAGCGTCTTAATCCCTTGCTACATCCTCCTGATCCAATCGTTATTAATCATTTTATTGAAAGCGGCGCGGAAAATAAGCAAACAGCATGTTATGATATAGACGTTGAAGTTGATGATACACTCAAAAATCAGATGAATAACTTTTTAATGAGCACAGCTAGCCAACAAGAAATCCAAGGGTTAGACACGAAAATTCATGAGACCGTAGACACCATAAATCAGATGAAAACTAATCGTGAGTTCTTTTTGAGTTTTGCCAAAGATCCACAAAAATTTATACATCGTTGGATAGTTAGCCAGACAAGAGATTTGAAGGTAAGAAATATGTTGTATACTAGCATTTCAGATGGGTTTATGTTATTCATATTTATTATAATAGGCTATGACGGATGTTGTTGGCAACCCAGAAGAAGAACGTCGCGCAGAATTTTATTATCAACCATGGACACATGAAGCTGTGTCCCGTTATTTCTTTACTAAAGTTAATCAAAAGCGTGCTGAATTAGAACAAGCCTTGGGTATACGTAATGGCTAATATGTTCGTGTACAACTTAAACACGTCTTTTCCTGATTTGGGCTTAAAAAGTTTTTATTCAGATATTTACTTAAATATACAAAAAATAAAGAATAATCCCATACATTTTGTGCTCAGATTACGAAACTTATTTTAGATTTTACTTTTCGAGACAGAGCATTTGTTAATTCTGCCGTGATAAACAATTGAATGTTGTTTTTGTTGTGGCCGTTCACTAGCCCCGCTTAGAGATATGTTACTTTGTCTAAGTCACCGAGATCATCTGACGAGAGATCCAGGAAACGAACTGTTTCGATGAGTTCGAACCAGTGGGAGAGGGACTTAGGTCGGCTTCAGGGGGAATGTAAAGAGGTGCTTAGTGTCGCGCGGGGGCTTGTTACATGCTGGGCATGCGTTAGGTATGTTGGGGTAAGTAGGGGTTTAACCTGCTATAATATCCAGACCTAAGTGGCGCTGATATTACGAAGGTCTGTCGAAGCAGCTCGAGCTCTTCATCTGCTAAGGGTGGCGATTTGGTTTCGACTAGGAAAGGAGTCTTTGAAGGCGTTAACTGATTGCGAGCGACTTTTAGTGCCGGGCTGTTGGCCATCATGTTGTTGTATCATCAAAAATATTCCCCAAAGTAATTTTTGGTGAATGTTACGGCAGTGACAGTCCTTGGACGGATAAAAATCCGGGTCGTTCCGGTATAAAGACCCGACTGTCGCGGGAACTATAGGAGTTTAGTCGCCTCTTACTACAGGCATGCCTTACCGCGGGTAAATTCTTGAGCCCCTAACCAATCGTCGGCATGCTTTCGTCGGTCTTGTTCTGCAAAGTAGCTGATGCATGCTCCTTGTCAGCTCTTCGCTGTCGTTTTTGAATAGTTCTGCAGATAGGCCATCAGCTCCCACCGCTTAATTGGTTTTTAAGCGGGCGATTGCTATTCGACAAGGTAGTAGTCCGAGTCGATGTTGGGTCCTCGGAGTGTACGCACGTCAATAACACTGGGGACATGTCTTCCGTCTATCACAACATGATCGATCTGGTTTTGCGTTTTTCGATCAGAGGACAGCCAAGCAGCTTGATGTATTTTTTTGTGCTGGAATCTAATCGATCAGCCTCAACCCATTAGGAGATAGGTACATATAAATAAAATATTTCGAACTCGACAACGTCTTATCGGGCCTTGCAGATGATGTTGTATCCGGCCTGGCTTAGAAGGCCCGAACGGTCGGTCATTTCGTTTCCGGGATCGCAGCAATTAGCAGGTGGTCATAAAGTATACTATCTTGTCGATCTTTCCATTGGACTCCATTGCAGCTAAACAGCAACAGTCGTGATTGTCTCTGGGAAACGTTCGTAGTACAAGAGTAGTAATGCGCACGTCTGAGTCCGAAAATGGCACCTGCAACAGTAGGATTTAGATTTGACTGATGTCGTGTTCCGACATACTATGATGGGTGCGGTGGGGATTGGTGGAAGTCATGTTACGGGGCGCTCAGTGAGACCATAGAGGTTTGTGGTTGGTTACCCAGAGTGAGAAAAGGTTCTAAAAGAAATGCCGTAGGGCTCGTGCATGATCCACATAACTTGTGTACCACTCTCATGTCTTAAAGTCTGAGCAGATCTTTTGATTGTTCCAGACATTGCATTGGTTACATCTAACAGATGGAGGAATGGTGAGGTCTTACCTGGCACACGATGCAGAAATAATCCTTCGGCCCTGAGTTGGTTTCGACGCCAGCCCTGATGAGGACTAGGAGCAATCCAACTGTGAGGTGTTGATCCATTGGTAACATTAGACTAATGTTTCATGTCACCTAAAGAGCCCTTGGACGGATAAACTTCGGGTCAGCTCCGGCGCGTAGAACTGGCTGCCAACAGGTTGGGGTATACTTCCTCCCCTACTCCCACTCTGGATTGAGCAGATAATATTCATCGTGGATTACCTCCTCGCGCCCTCAGTTTCATATTTTATTTAAGCACTATGTTAGGGATGGAAGCTGTGGACATTACCACCCTGCTTCCTAAAATATGTATTTGGCTTAAAGAGCTTGGTTATATATTCTTCAGAAATAATTTGTCAAACAAGTGGGTCACGAGGGAAAAGAATTTCAATTAGGTTGAAATTTTATATTCTACATTTTAAGGCTAATCCTAAATCACAGATATAATCGATAGTATCGATTATAATAAGCATCAGTTGTCGATAGTGATTTTTTCCAGCTCTAATAGTTTAATAAATAAAAAACACAATTAGTTTAAGATTTTGTAATTTTTTTGCTAATACATTCTTATTATACTAATAACAAACATGTTTTTACCGTCAATGACAACCATATTGGGCGTGGCATTTGCGGCTTACATAGTACATTCCATATGGATGATGGCCCAGTTGTTTACGGCATTAAAATGCTCGGACAAACCATGTTATTCGTCGTTTCTCAATGAGAATCCCCGGATGCAGTTAGCGCTATTTACGTCCATTAATCCCAACCCCATAACAACAGAAGTATCAAAAGTTTTCAGTACTAAGAATTTTGACTATTTGAATCCATTTACAAATGAATTCCGAGTTGATGTACCATTGAAAACTCGTCGAAACGGAAGTCTTTATTTTCAGGTATTGTAATAATTGTATGTATACATTTTAATTTTAAATAAAGATATTTAATATTAATAAAGGTGGTTTTGGCACTGGAAGGTGAACCACTGGAGTGGAAAACTCTAAGAAGAGATGGACCTACTGTTATCCATACCACACGATTGACAGAGTTTATTACTCCACGAGCAGAGACTTTTAATTTACTGGGTGATAACGTGAGTGTCAAGAATATAAAACTTACGTATATAAAACAGTCATCTTTGTACCAATTCTAAGTAGCTTTTCTCTTAAATTTAAAGAATAACGATAGTAATAAAGGGTCTAAAATACCTGGCATAAATAACAATAAAGCTCGAACAGTAAAGCCTGTTACTCACATCATGTCTCAAGTTCATATCAGTTTGCTCACCGATAAGATTTCTTTATCAAAAGCAGATGTTCCTCCAGAGATGGCAAAATTAATACAGATCAATCGCCACCAACAGATAATGCCAATTTTAAAGACTGATTTTTTCAACACGCGTATAAAAAATTTAGTGCAAATAAAAAGGAATACAACAGAGTTCAATATAACATTTTATTATAAGCCTGTTGGTATTGGGAAACTTCGGTTAATGATTATGGTCGAACACGCTATGCAAATGATGGAAACTATAGGCTTTTCAATGAAAGATATTGACGAAGTTAAAGGCATGTTTTCCGACACGAACGTATATCTCTTATGCGGGACCATATTTGTCGCAAGTGTGCATGTAATCCAATAATTTCAATTTCATACTATATAATAATATTAACGGCTTTACTTTCAGATTCTATTTGATTTTCTTTCATTCAAAAATGATGTATCATTCTGGCGGAAGAAAAAATCTTATGAGGGTCTTTCAACGCGTACAACGCTTTGGCGAGCATTTTCCCAAATTGTGATATTCATGTATTTATTGGACGAGAACACATCGTTGCTGGTGTTGATTCCTGCCGGCCTTGGTGTGCTTATAGAATTATGGAAATGCAAGAAAATTTTAAAAATAGATATAGGCATTCAAGGTATACAAAAGAGTCAACCAAGAGATAAAAATTCAAATGAAAACGCTGAAAAGAGAACCGAAGAATTTGATCGCCAAGGAATGAAGTACTTGAGTTATTTATTATATCCGTTATGTTTAGCGGGGGCTGTATATTCGCTGCTTTATCAACCTCACAAAAGTTGGTACTCTTGGACACTTAATTCTCTTGTTAATGGAGTATACGCATTTGGTTTCCTATTTATGTTACCTCAACTATTTGTTAATTATAAATTGAAATCTGTGGCAGCATTACCATGGAGAGCTTTTATGTATAAAGCATTCAATACGTTCATAGACGATTTTTTCGCTTTCATAATTACTATGCCTATTGCCCATCGAGTAGCTTGTTTACGGGATGATATTGTGTTTCTTATTTATTTATACCAGCGTTGGCTCTATCCGGTGGATAAAAGTAGGTTGGACACGGGAATTGCAGTAGAAGACAATATTGAGACTGACGAAACCACGCAATATTCAATGCATTCAGATAAAAAGAAAAATTAATTTAGTCTGTTGTATAAAAACTACAATAAAATATCCTGAGAAATTTTAACCAAATGTTTTATTAATAAAAATGGATCAATAAGTACTCTCACTTTGGTAAACAATTAATGATTTCAAAGTAATATTGACGGACATATGAATCTATTAATATTCGGAGATAATGAAGACTCGGTTATAACCTGTTACTTCTCTGCTATATTCCTTTATCTTGGTGTATCAAGTCGTTTTTGCGACGATTATAGCCGAAAAAACTTTGGTTTGTTTGGAATAACAGCTGTAAAAATTTCCATAGTTATAACTTTTGAATAAATTTTCCAGAACTGTGGCGTTGCAGTCATATTTTCTGGGGGCTTGGTATTCAAGAATTCATCTGCAGTAAGGCATGATTTTGCAAATAGGGGCTTAAAACCAATAATTCCCGCAACAATGCTAGAGCAACCCAAGATTTTATTCAGCTCAGGACTTAGTTTCAAAAAAATACAGCAATTGATATGTGCTTATCAATTATTCGGGACTCGATTTTGAGTCAGGGTAGCATTTTAGTGAAAAAACTACGATTTTGTATTTGCAGAATGTATCACTTTTCAGAATTCACGATTTATTATGTTCCGCAAAATATATGTACATACGTGTGTGTTGTTATGAATAGCTCTATCACCTTACTACACTGATGGCAAGGTTCTTGCATAAATCGCAAAATACAAAATAAAAAATATTGTTATATTTCAATTGGAAAAGTTAAGTATTACACGATCATGTCATAAACGGAACCCTCTCCCTAAAGTCCGAACCCTTCGAAACAGCCAGTTTCTTGTACTTCAAGATTGATGACCTTCATTTGGTTACCAATTGTACAAGTTAATGCTATTGTAAATATAGCAAATATAATCAGGAAACTCGTTCCCACCAAAATTAGCACTTTTTTACTTGTTTTTATTGCTCGATATTTATTATTTCCTATAAACATTTTTTTTAATTTACATAAATTACAGCAAATAAATAATAAACTGAAACAATGGTAATATCATTTTTCCGTTGTCAAGTATACAATATTCCATTACTGACTCCAGCTTGATTGCAAGCCATTAAATTAATTTCTTTATGATTAAAATTATTTAATTACTAAAATTAAGCTATGCATTTTAATATTTCCAATATTGATAGATAACAATAATTTCTTAACCCAAAAACTAACTAATTACAATATCTGTTAATAAATTAATTAGTATTACAAATGTAAGAAAATGCATTATAAAACTTCAATTATGCTTAATTCTCCAGCTGTAATGGCTCAGCCCTGCTGTTATCAACATTTTCCCATACCCGCTAGCCCATTTGCGATGATAGATTCTACAATAAATAAGTACACATAAATGTATGTTGTAAATGTAACATTAAAAAAAAAATACATTATTAAAATCATTATACAAAAATTTAGAAGGTAGTTTCGATGGTGTTACTCAAGGTTTGACACTAGAATTGCCGGACTTTTTCTTAGGGAATTTCCAAATCCACAAGGGAGAATTCCCGCGAGAATATTAAAAATTTGGCTGTTTGTGTTCTCTTTAAAACAGCTTTTTGTAGCCTAATCTAACGCCAAAGCAATTGTTGCCATACCGATTTACCACTTACACTGTCTGTGAAAATATAATGCATCTTAAAATGTGGTTGGACAAAAGAACTGTCGAAAGGCAAAATATTAACCCCGTTTGTGGTGAATGAAATAAATTAATTTTTAAAAATATCTGTCTAGAGCATAAAATCGGAAGCATTTGAGTTGACTTCGATTGTATTGAATTTACATGGAAGTGGAATGTGGTAAATTATAATAAATTATACCAGTAACGCCTTTGGCCGCGTGTCGAGTGGTTAGCATTGCGTACTGCCATTCGGAAGGCTCGGCTTCAAATCCACGTGCGACCAACATCCAAGAGGAGTTCGACCGAAAATCGCTTAAGTGGTTACAAAGCGCCAATTATATATATATAATACCTTTGGAAGAAAGCCTTTCAGTAACAGTTTAAGAAGTTGAGTTCCACTCGAGCCAATAAAGAGGTATCAAACAATATCTTTTAATCCCCATGCGGGTTAGGCATGCCTGTCTTAAGAGGCGACTTGATTCCAATAGTTCCCGTTACAGTCGAGTCTTTATACCGGACCGACCCGGGTTTTTATCCGGCCAAGGACTGTCACTCCCGCAACATCCCCTAAAAAGTACTTTGGAGAATATTTTTGTGGTTAGAGCCACAACAATCTTTTAATTTCAAAGGCGAATGACAAAACAACATTTAAAAAATAACCACGGCAAATTGGACTATGAATATGTTTTTTGTAGTTACCTGAGCTTGAGAACTATCAAATTCAATCTGTTCAGAGAAACAGTGCTTATAATTAAGGTAATCTAAAAGCCTTCTCGGTAATGGTAACGTTTGTATCAAGTCTTTTCGTATAACAGTTTTTAAGATCACAAATCTGAAAATACAAAAAGTAAAATATTTTATGAATTTTAGTGAAACAGTCAAAAATAAATATATATACACGTAACATATATGTATAGAAATACCTGCACATGTGTTGCAAACTTTGGACGTGCTTGAATCTTGAAACTGGGTTCGTTAGTTGCACCCGCATGGGTCCATGCTCAGGTCGTCTATGAAGGAAAAATAGATACCTAAAAAGGGATTATTATAAATTTCGCAATAATTTTTCGATATATTAAAATAAACCTTCCACTTCGTGAATGTTCCACAGCTTTTTCGATGAATTCCGTGATAGTTTGCGATTTAAATTTCGCATACGAGCCAAATGAGAAAGTTCCTGAAATTCATTGATTTTAAAGCTTAATTTAAAAAATTTCAAAAGTTGTATAAAATGAATGGAATATTATTTAATAACTCTTGAATTAATTAACCTTTTTGGTTTAAATTGTTTTCTAGTTTTTTTTTCACACATATCGAAGCACAGCACCTCTCTTCGAGAGCTTGACATGTACATAAAACGAAACTGGTAATTGTGTCGAAAGAAATTGAATTGGAAGATATCCCCAATGCAGATAAAACGTTAAAAAAATATTTTTTATAAATCAGATATGGTTTACTCATCTTTACAAGAAATATCTAACATTTTCACATTGTAAGTCATATTTCGAACCCTAGCCAGACCAACATCCAAAACTATAAATCCAAACATATTTTTGTTAAAGGTCGCCCCCTATACATATAGACAATCCACCATCTGCTCGGAAGCAAAGGAACGAAGAGACCCAAGACCCACACCACAAGTGGGTGCTCGTTTGAAAATCCATCAGCTGATATAAAAGCCCTTTTATATACATATGTATATGTACATTCTGAAAAGAAAACCGACTTCGAAGGAACTTTGTATGAATATTTCAATAGCTACCTGAATGGTTGAAAAAACTTTATTTTGGGAAGTGGATCTGGTATCGATCTAATTGGAAAAACAGTATTTAAGGAACACACACAACAACCGCCGGACAGGACGGCGTATCGACAAGCACTGAACGCCATTCACCAGGAGTCAGTTAACACCTTCATGGACTCCCTTCCAGTGAATGGCGTACTCGGAGAAATATCACCACCCATAGCAGACAACGAGCTCGAGCTGCCTCGAGAAACCCGCGTGACCCTGACATAACTCAGGTCTGGATATTATAGCAGGTTAAACTACCACCCTTCCAGACTAGACCCCAGCATCTTCATATGCCCTTTCAAACCAACTCATCTAGCCCCCCTCTCTCTCAGGTACAACCCCGTCGAAACAGCTCGTTTCCTGGGCCTACCATTAGAAGACCTCGGCGACTTAGACTAATTAAGCATGTGCCTAAGCGGGTTTAGCGAACCGATACAACAACAACAACAACAACAGTATTTAAAGTTACATAGTTTTCTTAGATTAAAATACGGGTTTTCTTTTGAAAATTGTGGCAGAGACTGATTTAATGCAATAAAGTAAAAGTGGTTCGATTGCTCGAAAATCGTTAATTTTTTTAACTTTTTTGCCGAGATCATTCTTTAAACATATTCATTCCAGGAATTGTATTTCGACAGATCAAGAAAATATTGGTATATTCGCTGAGGGCCATCCATCATGTCAGTTTTTATAGCTAATGATTGATATAATCTAAAATGTTATAAATAGCTGAAGAACCGACCTACGTTGGGCATATATATTGGCTTATCAATTAATTTTTGTTCAAATACATAAAAACCATTTTTTAAATAAATTTTTCCTATTTATAAAACGCATTTGTATAGTGTTATCCATTTCGTGGTTTCAAAAGTAAAAGACTGTGTTTTGACATCAGTCAAGCTTAATTGTCAGTCCAAACACTATTTGTTTTAGTTGAAAGACAGCTACAACGCGTTAAATTTTTTTTTTGGTTCGAGAGGAGATTATAGGGCACATAAAATGTTAAAAAATATTTGAAGAAGCTGTATCGGTTACTGTCTAAGCGGGTGAGGGAGAACGTGAAAATTCAAGTTGAGCACCAGGATCGCTTCAAAGAGATATGGTCCTTACACCAATGCCATAGCAGGCACCTGACGCTGCGCAGACGCCACTCGCTTTCTCAAGGAGCATGGGTGGGAAGACGCAAACAGATAACAAAATTTCTTATCTGGACCATTAGCAGGCCAATTTCATTGCAAACAATGAACACTTTAGCCGTATCACTTTGCTAATCATTTGAGAATTGCATTCTTACATATATGCCTGAATGCCAAATCATTCATATATAAATGCCAGAAAACAAAAACTCAAATAACAGAAAGCAATCAGCTAGCGCCCAAAGTTATGCAAAGATTTACGCTCCTCGCGTAAACAAGTTACAGATATTGTAAGGCCTGTACATTTTCATTTTGCTCGTTCCACCTAAAATATTTTAAGTGGATTTTATTGACTTTTATTTTCCAAATCGTAAAACGGATAACTCTGTGTGTGCCGTTTTTGAAGATCAGGACCGACCAGCAGCTAATTCCTTTTATAAACGCAAACTTTTATGGAGTCTACCGAATTTTTCCTCATTGTTATATACATAAAACTGATGGAAGTTTGAATTATGAATCAAGCGTTGGATTGTTTCCAATTGTCTTATTGCACAACTTGAAATTAAGTATAGAATAAAATAAAAAACATTATTTATTTGTATTTCAAATTTCAGTGTTGTAAAAAAGTAGTACTAAAAGTATAAAATAAGTGACTATTTTCAAAATAGCGGCCGCAAAAGACGAGTGATGGAAGTTTGAATTATGAATCAAGCGTTGGATTGTTTCCAATTGTCTTATTGCACAACTTGAAATTAAGTATAGAATAAAATAAAAAACATTATTTATTTGTATTTCAAATTTCAGTGTTGTAAAAAAGTAGTACTAAAAGTATAAAATAAGTGACTATTTTCAAAATAGCGGCCGCAAAAGACGAGTGGCCTGGGTTCAAGGTCACGTTCGGCAAATATGGAGCCCAGGGGTTCGTTACAGAATTGTTTTTGAACAAAAATTCACGAACGGACAAAGGAGTGGGAACAAATTTAGCTGTCACGCTTTTCATACAAAAACATTCTCTAAATGCGAATGTTGATGAGCTGAGGAGTCCAGGGTGTTCCGCATCGTCAACGTCTTCCCGGTCTTCTTGGAAACGTTTGTACCACTCGTAAATTCTTGTTTCAGTCGTAGCATAGACCTTTGTAATGTAATGTTAAATATTTTTCATTAAGCGATAATCACGAAGCTCTTAAAAACTCGTTTAACCCCCATGGTTGGCAAAGAAAGACAAAGTCGTCAATGGCTCGCATACCAATATATTAAATAAAAATAAAAAATGGTTGACAATCGGACTCTTTAAGACCTCGAAATTATTAACTTTTCGTCATTTTTTAACACATTTCGTATATGTGTGAAAGTAGCTTTGTATCCAGATGTTGGAGACGTCAATGGTCCTTTTGAATAAATAAGAAATCACTATGTATAACACAAAAAATTTATTGCTTTTAAAAATGGTAAGAAGTGGGGAAAGAGCGAAAAATATACCAACTGTCACCGGAACTTTTAAATCACCAATTAACGGATATTCGATGAAAAAAAATATAACTTGATATCCATTAAATTTGATCAGGGAAATTTTAAGCCAAAATTATCGATTACCTTCGAGCGAAAAAGTAGAAATTACAAAATATATATCAAATATGATAAAAAAAAGAAATAAAAGAAAAAAAAACACCACGATGCACACTCAAATTTAAAATATGTATGTATGTATGTATATATATAAATTTGTAGGTGGTGAAACAAAATGCTTTCCTTTGCAGTAGTTTAAGCTTATTTATAAGAGAAAAATATAGTTCTGTGAAAGCTCTTACCTTGATCCTGTTCAATTCGTACATGACGAACACAGTTATTTAGCTTAAAACTAAGAGAAAATATGTAATGATCGTCAGAGCTGTCTCGTACAATGAAGCTCCCATCCGACTCTGTAGATAGAACTTTCTCCGCTGCTTCACTAGATAATGGACCCCAGTACCATCCATACTTTAAAATAACAAAAACCTTATTAGTTCGTTTAATGAACATTTACTTCATATTCGAAAATCTTACATCTTTGACTTTTTCAATACTTGAAGTGAATTGCAAAGTTCTTCCTTCTTGCTTTTTTTGTGAGCTTCCTTTGTTTTGCGTCATTATTGACTCAGCTAAATATTTTAGACAAATAAAATAATAATAAAGAAAGACTTATTTTATTTTACAGTTAAATATAGAATCCATACATTCGGAGTCCTATCAACTATATCTTAATAAAGTTGCTTATTTGGTTATAGTATTTAAGATCAGGGAATTCGATGTGATTATCAATTCCAGTTGTTGACATAACACAATTATTTTGCAGAAAACGACGGTGAAGTGGATGCTTAGAAAAACATTTTAATGATATTGACCAGGGGGGAAACATAAACAAAATTAATTTTACTTTTATATATATATAAGTTACACTAAAAGTGTATAGTGAATAATAAGTGAATACTAAAAGTAGTATTCTACAGAATATAGGCAACGCAAGTAAACAAAGGCAACATCTTTAAAGCTGAAAGAAAGTAGTATTGAAGTTCACAAAATTGTCTTATTTACATTTAATACACTCTAAGAGCGGTGTCCCCGACACGATATAAAAGCATTCTTTCAATTTCGACGCCAGGTATCTTCATCCTTTACGGTATCTTCAGCAGGACAGTCGGAAAATTCAGTCCCAGTGGCGACACATTTCCAAGCGGGCTGAGGCATATCAACTTTTCCAGGGCCCGAACAAACACGGTTTTATACTCGATTTCGACAAACGACATTTCAAGCTCTTTTTGTGCTGCCACAGAAGTTATTGGTCGAACGAGAGCACCAAAGACCGAGCTAATTACCTTGGAATAAGCCTCCTTAATACTGTGTATAGTGTCTCATCTGACAAAAAGCAATTGTCTCTATGCTGCTTGCCTTAATTTGGTATCCCTGCAAAACTTATACGGTTGTGTAAACTGTCTATGGACAATACTAGAAGCTTAGACAGAATTGGGAAATATCTATCCAAACCGTTCGGTATCAAATGATTTAGCTATTGCAAAATAGACAATATATTAATCTTTATCAAGAGGCAAACAACGCACGCACGTCTTGACAGCCCACTGAGTAAGCAATTGAAAAATAATAATAATTCCACGAAACTCATCATTCCCGTCCATCGGATACAGAGAGCCGGTTCTACTTACCGGAGTTAAACCGGGTTTTATACGGTCAAGGGTTGAAACTTTTTTCTCAACATAACCCCGCTGGTGTCGTAACCACCCCTGGTCATATGGATCACTTCTGCTGCGTGTGTCAAATACGACTCCACCATTCTAGTATTTGGGTTAGATGCTACCAGGCAAAGGCTGGGAAGCATCCGGTCTAACGAAGGTGGCGAGAAACCTCCTGTAGCCACCGACGAATCACTTACACAGTAAAATATCTATGATCCAAATTAAGGAGTATAATGTTATCCTATGTAAGCAAAATCAGTTGATAAGAATTGAAGCCGAACCTCTATTCAGGCACATCTGGAGAGAGTACTAGACTACATGGAATCAAAACAGAATCATAGACAAGAACTGCTGGACATGAAGGCGCACCAACAGGATTTAAACGCCAGCACTGAGAGTGTGTAAACACCTTTATGAAAGATTTTCTTGTCACACTCAAATTCTCGCCCTAATACCTTCCCCGATTTGTGGTTAGCGTCTTGATGTCTTCCCAATGAATGAAGGGACCTACAGTTCATTCCAAGCCGCCTCCGAGCGCCCATAGAATTTTTCATCAGGATTCAATGCAGCACCCGCTGTTGTTAATATAAGATGAAGAGCTCCATACCCTTGCAAAGATTAGGTTTAAATCGACCAAGCTTCGTTTTTACAATTGGAACCAAGCTATCAAACGAAAAGCATCGTTTTATTCCAATTCTAAAATTTCATTTAATATTTCGTCGTCAAAATACTTTCATAAAAACTTATAGATGTACAACCCTAATATCAGTCAATTTATTACAGATGTTAATTTCCCCGTGTTTAATTACGCACTCAAATATATCTGAGAGAGAAGTACCACCGTGAAGTATATACAATAGTGTAAATATTAGGTCAAGTAAAAAGTTCGTTCGGTTTTTACCTAAGAGATGGCGTTATTGTCCCTAGTACTAGTGTTACGTGTCGCATCATGTCATACTTACGGCGCTGAAAGCGTGTTGTCTTGGACAGTTTTTCGATTGATTGACTCAGTACGTTGTAAGCGTTCGTCAAAGATGGAAACTAGGAAAGAGAAAATTCGCTATATTTTACAATTTTTCTTCGATCAAGGCGAAAAAGCAGCCAAAAAATTATTTTAGTTTATGGGCCCGATACTGTAAACGAACTTGTAGCACAAAAGTGGTTTGCTAGGTTCCGATCCGGTAATTTTGATGTCAAAGATGCACCACGCATCGGGAGGCCTGTCTTGGAAAATTGCGATAAAATCATGGAAATAGTGGAAACAGACCGTCACGTGAGCACCTATTTAATTGCTGAGGAGCTAAAGATAAGCCAGAAGACCGTTTGGAACCATTTTTCATAACCATGGATTCAAAAAGAAGCTCGATGTTTGGGTGCCACACGAACTAACGCAAAAAACATGATGGACCGAGTTTCCATCTGCAAATCGCTGCAGAATCGCAACAAAATCGACCCGTTTCGGATCGATTGTGACTGGCGATGAACACACATGACTTACGACAACATCGAGCGCAAATCAATAAAAAAAAACCGAACGACCAATAGATGTACGAAAGACGGGTGATGAACTCGCGACATAAGGTAGTTAGACATGACATGATGACAAAATGGGCCCGGTTATTTCAACAAGGAAGAGAGACCTGTGAATATGACCTCCGCCCAGAGTGCCCAGTGACGGCCGTGATAACAAGCTCGAGCTGCATCGAGAAACCCGCGTGACTCTGGCACAGCTGAGGTCTAGACACCGTAGCAGATTAAACTTCTACTTAACGAGACTCGACCCCAACATACCCAATGTATGCCCTGCATGTGGAGAGTCTCCGAACGACACTAACCACCTCTTCACAAGCCGACACATCCAACCCGCTTATTCCTCTGGTCCAATCCCGTCGAAACAGCACGTTTCCTGGACCTTCCGTTAGATAACCTCGGAAACTTAGATTATCTAACATAATTACCCCTCAGCGGGGTAAACGTAACCGCTACAAAAACAACAACAACGGTCCTGGCCGAAGAAAATGGAAAGACTACAGATTAGCAATGGACGAACTGGAGATTTTGCCTTAACATATGAATATGAAAAAAAAATAGAGCGCGTTGGGTACCGCCTGGCAACCGCATTGTAGCAGTTGATGAAACTTGGATTTTGGATTTGGAAAGCCACAAAAAAAATTCAATGTGCGAGGGATGCCTCAAAAAATACTATATTTACAGAAAATTACCATTAAATCCTAAGGTCCGAATCTGCCTCCGAGTGACTTTTTTCCTTTTTTCCAATTTGAAAAATAAAAAAGGAATTACAGGAACGAAGATTCTCGGATTGTTTCATAACCTAATTGAGGTTGCGAACTTATTAGTCACCCCTCGTATATACGTGGATTAAGAATGTGTTTGAAAATTGTGTATGGATGTTTACTTACTCTTTTTTGGTAAAGGAGGCAATGCTCTAGATTGCACTTTTTTATGTTTCTCTACAGTGCTCCTGCGCTCTCTGTTGATAGTTCGTTCCTCAGGAGTATTGGTCTGAGATTGTGGTTGGGTTCGGCGAATACGGAATATATTGCAAAATTTTTGTTTTAAATTTAGTGAAAATTGTGTTTTCTTCTCATTTCGTACAACTTGAGACGATATATCCACATCATCGGCTTTAATCATTTGGTTTTCCGTAATGCTATAATTATTAGCGAGAACAATATTATTTAAGTTATTGTTATTGATTTTATCATTATTTTCATTATAACTTTTTGAAGTTCTGATATTTGTTTTACATTCAGCAGAATTATTTTCTTCGTTCGAGGATTGATTTATACGGGAACATGGAGAAGAATCATTCCCTCCCAATTCAATGGGTGGTTTCACGCAATCAATTTTATCTGACTCATTTTGTATACTTGATCGATTTTTTGTTCTAGTGTATATTGTTTGATAATACTTTTTTACTTCATTCAAAGTCATATTGAGTCGTTCTTGAGGTGGTGCACTTGAGTTTAAAAGCGTATGAGCAGATGTATGCAAACCATAATCTTCACTCTCATTTAAAGTATCTGCCTTTTTATTTTTCAATTTGAGAGCATTCGTAGCAAATTTATAGTTATCACACTTCACATCGCTTTCGTAAGTTTCACTATTGCGTTTTTTTCGTTTATTTCTATTATTTTTGCGATTTAGCTTGGAGTGCTTACTATAGTCATCATCGGTTAAAAGTAAATTATTCAGTTTCTTATAATCCTTAATTTTATCTTCTTTGTACTCAAGTCTGCAATTTTTATCCGTTTGTATCATATCTATTGGTAGAGCATATATATCTGAATCAATAGGCACGTTATAAAAATCAGATATTTCCCGGGTGAGTAATGCATCGTGAGACATTGCCTGAGTAATGAATATTGAATCGTCTGGTTTATTAGCAGATGACGTGTTTAATGAATTGTGAGAACTAGAAAGACGACTGTTTAAGGAATTTCGTGAATTGGGCCGGTTAGAACCTCCATTCGGACCTATAAAATATATTTCAGATAATTTTTAGTTAATATTGACTAAATATAGTTTTTGTCGTAAATATATCATATAACATAAAATATTCATCTCGGCCAAAAAATGGAATTAAATCGCGAACATTTTCGGGCGATTACTTTTTACAACCTTCGACGTGGATTAACTTAGCAACAGCGCATAGTACAATACAAAACGAATTTCGTGAAGGTGGTTCAAAAACAGTTGACGGAATAGCTACTGATGATATTGATATTTTCATGTCACCTATTATAAGATTGAGACAGCATAGTCATTAGTGGTACCAGTATATATTCAATGTAGCTTGTACATGACTGTAAAAAAATGTTTACGTTGGATACCACACAATTTATTAGCCGCTCAAAAATGCTCGTTCCGTTTGGTCGAAAGAAAAAGTTTAGAAATACGATAGCCGTACTTCGAAACACTTTTATGACTCGCGAAAGCTGGTGAATAGTGGAATTAAAAGAATGAGACCGCAAGTAAAAAATCAGTCGACGCGTGGGTGTTTCAAGATAAACCGAATCCAACAAAAGTTGTCCGCGTACTTCCACGCAAATGGTTGTCTGTTTTTTTTTTTCGCAAAAACTGGACATGCCCAACAATAAATTCTGAGTGGTATACTATTATTTCTGTGCCAGTTGTCTTTCAATAAATCAGGAAACCCAACGGCCAAAGAGGTATCAATATTCCTCACGGCAACACAAGTCCTCACACCATTGAAATAACAAGTGCATTTTTGAGCACGCAAAACATCAACATGAGACTTCTTGTATATTGTACGTAAAAAATAAATCGTAAGAAGATAACCAAACGTGATTCGACAATTGGTTGAAACAAGTGCAATGTAGAATATTTTAAAATCAATAAAGCAATTTTCGATGATTAATATTTGTTGATGTTCTGTAATCACGAAATATAAAAGGCAACCCTCGTATCGTGCCGAAATTGTTAATGTGTGCGCAGCATTTCATCATTGCCCTCGCACGTATTGCTGCAGAATACGTCGACCAGCGGTTTGTCTTGCGAGTTATTTAAACCATTTTATTGACCTAATTCCAGATGCTTAGAGGGTAATGGGTTTCAAACTTGAACTATAGTGTAGTTGAGTTGCTTTTGTAATCCTAAATGTTCCCTAAACTAATCTAGTTGGCGTATGGGTATTGCAGTACGTTGAACTTCCACCTTCCATTAACTTTCAGAATGTCAACGTTGTTGAAAAACACTGTACGCGTAAATGGAATTTATTACGTGTAACTCAGAAGTTGAGCTGCATGATGTTTGTGAGGCAATAATGCGTAGTTACACCACTTGGTAATTTACTACCAATAGTTAATGTCTAAAAGTATGATTTGATTTGCAAAAATTACAATATCCGTTATGAGTGCAAACCACTTTATATTGAACTTACCCGCATAGATGTGATGGCTGTGACAATAGTTTGTTACTTTTCGAGGACTATATAAAACCTTTTTCTGTAATCCGTTTTCGCATTGCACCGCGTTTCGCTTTATTCCATAGTACAAATCATAATCATGGATTTCCGAAAGACCATAGGTATTGAACTTAGCTGTACTCATAATACTATCTTGTTCTGATGGGATTGCTTTAAAATACATGGAGTGGTCTTCGTAATATGGACATAAATCCCTTTTAGCTCTTTCAGGTGGAAGCGATGTTTGAGGCAAAGATAATGAAATTGAATTCGTGTGTTGCTCAAATACTTCTGTATTGGTAAGAGCATAATTGCATATCACGTTATTTGGTTCATCGTACACATTCTCCGTTTTATTAGTCAGTATAGAATCACTTGAGTATATGGGTTTCTTTATGAGGTAAAGTTCTTTGTGTGGTTTTCCTAAATACTGGGTAGTGATTTCCATGTCAGCTTCTTTACAACAAGTTTTTTCTCCATGAATATTGTTTTCATTATATTCAGATTCTTTAGAATATTCCAAAGAAGAGTGTGAAGAAGATAAGCGTCTTAGTTTTTGCTTAATACAACGGCCCATTGTGATATTTGGTGAGTCCTGAAATTCTAGAGGAGGATCGATTGGTGCCAAAGGCCCTTTTTTCAATGTATTGAAGTTTTCCGCACTCATGCCAGCTTCAGAACAATTATCCAGGGAATCAAATTGAGAGACTTCGCCGTCACTTTCAACAATCTAAAGGAATAATTAAAATTGTTATGTTTTACTAATATTGCCCAATATTACGTACCTCAAGTTCATGTTTACATAACCCCATTCGATATGAATCTCCACTTGATATTGAACTGTTAGTAGTAAGGGGAACTCCGGAATCATCACTTAACGAAGTCTGTGCATTCAGTTCGACACTGTTCACACTTGCCATATCAATAGGAGGAGGAAGAACCCCAACATAATCAGAACAGTTTGATTGGCACATTTGTAGAATACTAGACACTGCAGAGCTGTTAGCAAATGATGGCGTAGAGAAGTTACAATTTGAATCTTCATCTTTATTTGTCGTATCCATTTCCAACATATCTTGCTACTAAAACACGATGTAAAAACATAATTACACATATTATTATTATGTATTTGTCGTACATTTCAATTTTAATAGTTCCCTAAATTGTATATGTTTTTTTCCTGAACTTACAGTCAAAAATTCAATTCTAGAACTAAAAAAAATTAATTCTTAACACAGGGGAAGGTAGTTTTAAATTATTATTACAATCTCCTAAAATTGAAGCTAATAAAATGAAACTTAATGAGTTTATAACGCTATAGTGCCGTTAGCACAAATAACTCTTGAAATAATGCAAATTGATCTTCCATCCTCCAATTCACTTTTTTCTGATATATAAATTTATGCCAACGTTTTAACCCAAGCTTAATAAGGTCGTTTTCAAGTATGTTCTTTAACCACTTAATCAAGTAGTTGCGGTATTTCGATGGGGAATCTAGCGATATTTTTCTTTAATTCAACACTGCTTTAGCTTTGGAAATATCTCTTTTGGATGCCTTTGTAATAGCAATTTATTGATATCGTTATTGTGTTGTATCAAAAAGCATTGTTATAATTCAAAATAACAAAAAAATCATCATAAAACATAAACAACTATCAAAATCAAGTCTTTCTTACATTTTTTAAATAATTATATTATTGTAGTGCAAGAAAATATAAAAATTGACCGTTCTCTAACAACTTAATTGCCACGATCAAAATGCTGAATAGATAGAGTCGTAAGTTTCGAAGATTAATCGTAACGGATGGGAAGAACAATAACCCAAATCTTGCTAACGGAGAAATTTTCGATTCGAATCGAGCTGCGAAATCATATCCCTGAATTAAAACACATTTTTTTATTTCAAATTATATTTAATTTTTAGAAATTGTATGGCACTATATACGAAATATAACAACAAACAAAAATTAACACAATTTTGAGCATTTTAAATTGCACCAGGTAAAATTTTGCGCAGTAGGTTCATTGTTTCCTTAAGACAAGTAATTCTTTGAGCCACAAAAAAAGATGCAACTTTTCTTTCTGTTCGTCCCGTAAAATTGTCAATTACTTATTTGGTAATTGTTTCACACGATCCTTCGTCATTCCCAAAGAAATAAGATCGAATAGTTCAGTTATATACAATACAATAGAACCGAATTTAAATGGGATGAATTGTCCTTCGAAGAACAAAAAGCAATAAAACATAAAATAATTACAACTTCAAGTAATAACATCGTACTTACTATTTGCCCTGGGCGGCTCCTGATCTGCCATTGAAATCACCAAATCTACCTTCTAACTAGACCAAAAATAACATTTTTGTACGCGTTGGCCATTTGACCGAATGGGTAACAGAACGTGCTCCCAAACAAGGGATCATGGATCTAAAACTGCTCAAAGCAACATCTAAAAAAAATTAAAAATAAATAAAAAAAATTACAAATTTGGAAAATTAAAAAAAAAATTCAATTTGGAAATTTTAAAAAATCAATATCGTAAAGTTGACCCTAAAACTTATTTAAATAGTAGGGGCTGAATTATTTACTAATACTAATAATTCATATCCGCTAATATTTATTAATTTGGAAATTATTACATTTTAAAACATTAACGTAAGAATCAAAGGTATGTTGTGGTTGTAATCGCAAAATATTCCCCGAATTGGTTTTCTGGGAATATTGTGGAGTGACAGTCATTGGCCCTATAAAAATCCGAGTCCTTCCGGTATAAAGACCCAACTGTCGCGGAAACTACTGTAGCTGCAGCTGCAGCCGCTAGGTTTGCGGCAGTACCATCAAGAATACACGACATTTGTATGATCCATTTTCAAGACTGTTTGATTAAATATATTAACTAAGGATTTTCTATGGCAACTACCAGCCGGACCTAGCTATCACAGCCGCCGTATGCCAATGCAGCGCACGCGCAATTTGCTATAATTGGCATCGTGCAAAATTTTCGACGGCTTTGCTCGTCGGGCAGAAAATTGTAAGAATATTCAAACCTCATACTTGTTGTTGTTCTAAATATGAACAGCACCTCAGACTTCAAAGTTGGATATGTATTTCGACTGAGTGTACACGAGTATGGGTGGGCATAAAGATTTTAAAGATATCATCCATTTTTCTTAGATTAAGTTTACTTACGACGATTTTTGTTGCCAAATTTCTAGTTTAGAGAGGAGAGGACGCACACAGCTCCGAATGGTTCATGTTCGGAAAACACGTTTTATGTTCTCATTCGTCGCTATAAAATTTTACGTTCCTTTTCACTTTAATTTTTTAAATCGTTGAATGATTGCAGCTCAAATTGGAAGACGAGCTCCCTCAAACGCGCTTCAATGTCTACATATATGCGAGGTGTGACAATTAAGTAACGAGACTGATTCCATAAAAACCGTATATCTCAAAATTATTCTACAACTCTGCCATCCCCTTCAAAGTAGTCCCCTTGGGCAGCTATACAACGATTCCAGCGCGTTTTCCATACTCCGTAACATTTCTGGAACTCTTCGTCTGGGATGTCCGCGAGTACCCTCGTCACGGTCACATGGATGTCGTCAATAAACTCAAAATGGGTTCTTTTGACCACCGATTTTATTCTAGCGGCAGGGCGACATATAGGGCGATTAAGGCAGTTTTTCAACACGACGATCCCCTTAGAGGCCAAATACTGGGACATGCTGAGGGCGTTGTGGCACGGTGCGTTATCATGATGAAGGATGCAGTTGCGAGCGATGTCTGGGCGCACCCTGTTTTCTCGTTTTCGCAATCTTTCGAGTACTTGGCAGTAGTTGACTTGATTTAAGGCTTGCTCCGATGGAAGAAATTCTTTGTGGACGATTCCGCACCACGACTGGTCTTCTGCTCAGCGTCCCGTCTTCCACGCTTTCAAGCCCCTCCTTAAACTCTTTATGCCATCGAAACATCTGTGCTCGGCTATGGGCACTATCACCATGCACTTTTACAGTTTTAGCGTATGTTTCCAAATCAGTGTCATTACGTAATTGTCACACCTCGTATGTATATACATACTATTAATGCACACATATGTACAGTGATGAACTGTATTGGCACAGTAAGATAGTTCAACTGTAACGCCTTTTTTTGACCGCTTATGAAAATATTTTTGTGTTTTTATGAAGTGTGAAATAACTTTTGTTTTGTGAAAATTATTACTTTTTTAATTTATAATTAGTATTAATTTAACATAAATGACATTAAAAGAAATGAAGTGAAAATAGTAGAAATTTTTTCCCCTCTCTAGCATTTTTTTTCGGAATTAAATGAGCCAATACTTTAGATCATCACTGAAAACCGCTACAACAACAACATCATCATCACTGTATAGATATATGTATATACAGACTATTAATGCATACATATATATATATATGTTACGTATATATATAAATATTATATATATACACATATGCATGTTATTGTTAATCTTAATATTCTGAATAGGTAAACGACTATTCTACTAATAAAAAATAAGATTATACGATAATATATTAGTTCAATACAGATGTACAGCCTTGGCCAAAAGTATTAGGCACCCCACTAATTACTGAATTTTTTGTTTTAACAACTGAAGTAATAAAGTTTTATTGGTAAAACGGTGAAAATACAATAAATTAGTGATAATAACATTAATATTTAGTAGGTCCACCCCTCGATTTAATAACGGCAGCAATTCTCTTAGGCATGCTGCGTACAAGCTATGCACATTCGTCCGCGCCTATAGCGTACTACTCGTTAATTAAGGCATTATTTAAGGCAGTTTTTGATGTTATACTGCGTTTCTAAATCTTGCGTTTTAAAATAGCCCACATGTGCTCAATTGGATTAAGATCTGGAGACTGTGCAGGCCAATCTACAACAAAACACTGTTGTCATCTCTAAAGCAACGCATCGTAGTAGCTGATTTGTAATAAGGAGCATTGTCTTGCTGAAACTCAACGCCGTCTAAATTAGTTTCGCCGAAAATGCGCGTTAACGAAGGCAGAAAAATAGCTTCTAATTCCTTTATGTACTTTTGACTATTCACGCGACCTTCGCAAACGAACATTTCGTCGACACCATCAGCAGCGATGCAGCCCCAGATCATAATGCTGCCTCCTCCATGCTTAACAGTGGGTACCATGCTATCTGGATGATATTTTTCCTCAACCCGTCGCCTCACGAACGTCACAGCAGCGTTTCCAAATATCTGTAGAAAAGAAAAATAATATTTTCATAAGACTTGTATTATGTCTTGAAAATTGCTCTAGGGTAAGAAACAATGGCTGTTAATACTTTAAGACTATCTTAACTAAGCTTACCTCGAAGTTTGATTCATCAGACCACAGAACATTCGACCAATCCTCTTCCGTGAAATGTTGGTATCGGCGAGCCCATTCCGAATGATTTTTGCTATTCTTTTCTGATAGCCTTCTTTTGGGCTTTACATCCTTTTAAACCTGCTTCCAGAAGTCTTCTTCTAGTTGTTCGAGCACTAACTGGTTTACTAAATTCATCCGAAAGGGCAGCTGCAAGGTCAGAAGATTGTTTGCGATCCTTCAGATACTCGCGTATAAGTATTCGATCTTCTCGTTTACTGGTTAGACGCTTTGATTTATTATTGTGAGATTTCGTCTGCACAAATCGCCTGATAGCATATTGGACCGAGCCCCGCAAACATCCCACCAAATTGGCAATTTCAACCTGGGACTTACCTTCTTCACTTAGAACTTGAATTCTAACTCTATAATCGTAACTAATTTCGCTTTTTTAGGCATTTCGGTAAATATGAACTGTTTTTATAAGATTGGTAACTTTTCACTAAATGTAATTTACACTTTCACTTTCAAATTTTAAATGCGAAAATATTTTATAAATTTCTTAAAAATGACAATTTTTAGGTTTAGCTTGCCCAGAGTGCTATGACTTTTAATATTACACAATTTTTCTCATTTAACCAACAGTTAAACACCCATGTAAGACATTTACAAAAAGAAGTGTGACTTGTATTTTAGTGGGATGCCTAATACTTTTGGTCAAGGCTGTACATGCTTCATTATTAATTTTCAGAACTGTCATCCTTATTCTGTCTGCTATTCTGACGTACTAACTTGTAAAATAAGCTTATTAACTAATTCGAACTTTAAAAAATTGCACACTGTTTTAATTATTTCAGCTCAGCACTGTAGATGTTGCTTTGATCAGAGTGTTCAAAAAACGATTATGAAACAAAAATAATTGTGTTACGTGTTCCCATGCTGACAGCGCTCAACTGCGCCCCAAGCCTTCATAGCAGTGACTTCTGCACCATTACATACCCCGGGTAATCAACCCCAGACCTCAACGTTGTCACGGACATCCTTGCAGCACGACTGGATGGAGCTGTCAGAAAAGATAGACGATTCGACATACTGACAATTGAAGCATTAGCTTCAAAAAAGTTAACTGTCACATTATGATGCATTTTAAACTTGCACAACAACTGAAGCCAGCCGGCTATTCACAAAGCTGTAAATATGTACGTCGATTGGGTGCTTGAGCAACAAGCAGTGGACGTCGATTTTCCGAAAGCTTACTGTCTTATGCGCTCTTTCGTCCGGATATGTGATTGGTCTCTTAAAACGACAACGGCGAGGCTGTCAATGTCAATTCGGAGCGTTATGGTCGTATAATAACCGACTTTTTTTTGCCCTGCAATTTACGAAGAAAAATTGGAAAATATGGGGTCCAAAGGGATTTAATGCTAGAGAAATTTCGTGCAACCTCACGACTTGGCGATAGTAATTAGCCACAGAGATCTCCCATATTTGACTTCATTGGACTTTGGTTTTTCTTATTCATTCGGATAAGCACTTAAGCATTTGACAAGTAATGACCGAAATAACGACTGCATACAAATGGTTACCTTATATTATTGAATTATAATAAAAAAGTATTTCATGCAAAACTTATTTTAAATTCATTTTATTTTCGTTTGGACAATCCTGTATACGAAGCTTAGGATTCAGCATGAAACATGTAATGAATAATTCTAGAGCTGTTACTAGCAAAGTTTTTAAACAAGTACGAAAAATTAAAATTCTAGCCAACAACGAAGAAGTATTTTCTCTGCTCTGCTTGCGGTTTTTTGGCTTAATAAACAGCTCCATTAACACATAAAGACATGTGTAACTTTATATTAATTTTATTGGAACTAAAGTAATATAGAAAACTATGGCACACTGTTCTTAACTCGGCGACCATGGTGTCTTCCCTAGCAAAGAAGAGGATCCGAAAATAGACATACTCCCCATCTAAAAAACCTATTGTTAATGTGCACAGGAGATATTTAATATAAATGTTAGCCGAATATATAATGTTGAAGTTACCTGAGAGTCTTCAAGTAAGTTAGTTAAGCATAATATCATGCCAAAAGCGATAGTTTGATGTCTGTCCTTAAATCAAAGCATATAACTTTGAATTAGACTAACTAAAAGAAAAATAAGGCCAGAAAATAATCATTTTTATCTGATTTTATTTAATGATACATACTGAAATTTATTGTTTTGACTTAAATAATTTTATAAATAAATACAGAGACAAAAGGTTAATTTATATTGAAATAGTTAGTAGTATGTTGCAAAAAATAAATTAACGAACTTAAAAATATTGACGAAAACAAAATTGAAGTGAATGTTTGTAAATTATCTACTTAAGGTGAATGAATCAGAAGACAAGTTATCGAATATAGACTAAAATGTGTGTAAACCCTAAGGACAGCAAAATACCTAGAACATGTAGTAAGAAGTCTGGATATGTATCCATGTGTAATCTTTGTACTTCAAGGGGCCAAATCTTAGACAAATATTTCTTTCCCTCTAAATATATTCACCAACAAAAATGTGATGAATATTATAGTTTTTCATATCTAGTTGTTTTAATAAAATTCCTTTATAAAACGATCAATATGTGATACATACGTGATTTTGTATAATTGATTCTGGCGTTTGCTTAAACGCGCTTCACTATACTAAAATAACAATTAATTTCCGCAAGTACATTCGCTTCGTATCGGGGTCTGTATTATCAAAAGAAGCCGGCAAACGTAATTAAATCAATCATCCTGAAAAGTTTAACTCCGACAAAATATTCGTATATTTGGATACTTTTTATTTCTGGCTAGAGATGAAACGATATACGTAAATACGATATAAAAATCGATAATTCAGTATGATACTTTTAATATGGCTTGTAACGAGCCTTCTGGAAACAACGTAACGTGAATTACATTGTTGCTCCTCTCAATTACCATGGCGAAATACTCCGTTCACACGGCCTCGTTGGCTTAAATTTTTAGTTCCATTCGGAAGTTGTCTGTAGAAGTTTATAATAATGAGAGTCATTATAATTTCAACAAGTTTAATATCCGCCTGCACATTAAACTTCTTTTATGTATTTTGGTTCCACACTCACACTCACGTTTAGTTTTTGAGATTTTATATTGGTTTTTCATCTTTTGTTTATACTTGTAGACTCATTTCAACAAAAAATTTCGAAAAAACGAACGAGAATAGCGAATTGTATGGAGAATTAAATGGTTCGGCATTTGTAAGGAGGGCAAACATATAGTTAACAACGTAATTGGGGTGCTTTGGAAATGCCATATAGTTATGTAAACCTTTCTTTGTCCGAACCCAGTTCTAATACAAAATCTATAATTAATGAAAATTTATTCAACAGTGCTTTTAGGAAAAAATTGGATAGACATATAACATTAAAAACGATTGATTTGACAGCTTTGTTAGATTCAAAAATAACCATTCCCCTGTTTGCAGAATTTAATTTACCGAATGTTAACGTAGAAATGTTAGAAGCTAAGTTAGACAATAATTTTGATGGAATTATTGGTTGTAACATACTTAAACCATTAAAAGCGAAAATTAATTTGGAAAAACAAGAATTAATAACGGAAAATGCAACTTTAAAATTACTATTTGATGACCACATTAAGTAAAAAAAAACGGAGTTAGACAGCTTATGTTCTAAAATTATAGAAATTCAATTTCATAAACCAGATATTGAACATATAACTGAAAAATTAAAAACCAATCATTTAAATAAAGAAGAAATAGAAAACCTTACAATCTTGATAAAGAGATTCAATTCAATTTTTTATAAAGAACGATCTTGCAACAACTGTTAGTAAATATCTACATACGATACCAACTATTAACGACATACCTAAAAGCTTATGATTTCCTAAAATTCATAAAGAAGAAGTAGATAGACAGGTTAACGATATGTTAAAATCTGGCATATTAACAAAACCTTCTAGTCCATGTAACGCAACTATCTGGGTAGCTCCAAAAATATTGGATAACTCGAAAGTGCAAAAGTGGCGCATTGCCATTGATTATAGGAGCCTTCTATGATGTAACATTTTTGAAGATAAATTCACTATGCCCAAAGGGATTTCATCAAATTTCAATATGCGCAAAAGACAGACATAAAACTGCGTTTTCAACTTCAACAGGTCATTATGAATATACTCGCCTGCCATTTGGGCTTAAAAACGCATGATTTTGTGAACAACATTTGCGTAGTTTACCTTGACTTTTGAAAAGACTTTCAGAATATAACCTTAAAGTACAGATTGATGAATGCAATTTTTTTTTCAAAAGAATCCAATTATTTAGAACACATTATCGCATCCAAAGGATTCAAACTAAATCCTGAAAAAATTAAATTTATTGATCAAATAAAACTTCCACAAACTCGTAAGCAAATAATGTCATTCCCAGGTCTTTCTGGCTTTTATAGGAAATTTATGAAAGATTTCAGTCGTGTTGCTCTTCCATTGACAATGTGTTTAAAAAAAGATTCTAAAATTAATATAAAAGATATCAAACACAGAGAATCTTTCATTAAATTGAAAGAACTTATTACTTCAGGTCCTGTATTAGCTTATCCAGTTTTTTGTAACACGTTTGCTCTTTCAACAGATGCTAGTAATGCTGCTCTCGGTTACGTTTTGTCACAAAACGGTCATCCGATTGCGTTTGCTTCAATGACCTTGAATTCGCCCGAATGTATCTACAGCACGATAGAAAAAGGGCTACTTGGAATTGTTTGGGCGACCAAGCACTTTCGGCGTTTCTTATGTGGAAAAAAATTTAAAATTAATACAGATCATCGCCCTTTGATTTGGTTAAACTTACTAAAAGAACTTAATATGAAGTTGCAGCTCTGGAAGATAAGGCTCAACGAATATGATTTTGATATCGAATAATGAAAGAGAAATGCCGTTGCAGACTTAACTTTTTTGAAAAAAAAAAAATCAGAAAATTCTCCTTCTGACTTCGCCCGTCAATATATGTATATGAAAATAAAGTTATTATAGATTTAGGGAAAGTTAATAAATGGTCAAAGGATATGTTAAATAACAACAAAACTCGAACCGTAATTACTCTCAAAACATATGAAGAAGAATAGGTGAAAAATATTTTAAAAGAACTTTTGCCGATCAAACGTAAAATTGGTATTTATTGTAAGAGTTTTGATATTTTCAAACTATTTCAGAATACCATAGTTAATACTACTATTAGTACTAATTTTTTAAAGTACAGCATATTTTTGAAAGATGTAATGGACAAAGCAGAGCTTTTGGAAATAATAGAAAACCATCACTGTGTTAACAACCATAGAGGTATAAAAGAAACATACCACGACCTTAATCGCGTGTATTATTTTCATACATAAATAATTGTATCATATGCAAATGTGCATATATGATCGACATCCTTTTAAACATAAGTTAGGCACTACAGAGTCACCCAAAAACCCAAATGGAACTCTACATATAGATTTATGGTTTCTTAACAAAAATATAACAATAACAATGCACGTTACACATAGATAAACTTACCGAACATGTATCCATCCATTCTCTGTCAGATAAAAATTCCATAACTATCGTAGGCATGTTAAAGGAAAGGTTCGCCTTTTTAGGAAAACGAACAAAAGTTATAGCAGATAACGAGTTTAACACTGCATACAGTAAAAATTTTCTTACTTTTCAAAATATTGAATTGAATATCATTTCTCATCTCCTAATAAACACACAGGTAATTCTGATATACAATAGAACGTTTCCATTTAACGCTCAATGAGCATATACGACTATTTAAACTAGATAAAAACAACCAGGGTATTGACGACAGAACATTAGTTTTTAAAGCTATAGAAATTTATAATAATACCACACATACCACCACTGGATATAAACCCTTTCACTTATTACATAAGCAAATTGATAAATCAGACTGGCAAAAACTCAACGAACTATTACATAAAAAGAAGGAGAAAAATAAAAAAAACAGATTACAACAAAAATAGAGATTATTGTCAATATTTTAAGAATCGGGAACTAGTTAAAGTCTTGGTTTTCAAAATCTAAAACAAAATTCAAAATATATTATTAAAGATGTCAAGGAAAAAGAAAAATTTCATTTTTTGGATGAAAATGGTAGCAAAAGAGACAAAAAGATAACCTGAAGAAATTATTCTAAAAAAATCTAAAAAAAAAAACTGTTTATATCTATTTTTATTTATAATAACTATGTAATTTTATTATATTGAAGTATATAAATTAATTTAAGTACCATGACTAAGTAACTGCATAAATGCACATACAAAATTGAATTGTATTTTGTTTTTGTAATGATATTAACTTCACATTCCAGGAGTAATATATTGTCAAACAGTGGGGGAGTTATGTAAACCTTTCTTTGTACAAAACAATTACATCCCCGAATTTATTTCCTACTTTACTTGTACCACTCTAGTTTGTAAATTACATTTTCATCTAAAATAATTTTTAAATAAATGTTTCAAGAAAAACGAGGTATTGTTAATATAAAATATAAAATAAAGAAAAAAACAAATCTCTTTCTATTTCATTATATGGTGTCACGCGATCCACTGGTCTTACGGTGCAGCGGCATTGATGACATACACGGATGAAACTCTTTATTTCGTGAGAGCACTCTCAACAGTGCCACTGTGATAGAAAAATGTCTTATTTGGATTATTAGGTATATTTTGGGTATTTAATTACAAACAACGACGCTTTTAATTACAATTTCACTAAAACATTTCATTGAGAAACAATTAAATATTTAATTATATTAAGTTTTAATAAATAAATTACAACAATTACTTTAATATTTCCTGCTAAGGCAAATAAACAATGGATTATTTTATTGGCATAGGGAATAGGAATGCTCCCCGTTCTGCCACAGCTGCCAACATTAGAATGTGAGTTGGGGAGCGCTCTCAGCTGCAATTTGAGTGATTTTGAGTATGTTTCGTATCTAGTCATCTTTGGCATTGGCAGTGGACCTCGTTAAGAGCCAGCTTCTCAAGATTTTCATACTCACACATTTCCACCTATGTATATTGATTCCTTCTTCATGTTCATGGTATCGGCGCATTATTAATTTCAATATGACGAGTCTCGGCGTCATCAATATCGGTCTCCTGACCTCGACAGCCAAAACGGGGACTGCATTGATGTGACCTTTTATCCTCATGACACCCTCGATATCAACGGCGTTAGTGCGTGAATATTGCTTTGTTTGCAATGCTTTAATGCTGAATCATTCCACGTCGTTGGCTGTCAGTACATCGTTCGACTGAAGGCCATCGTTGTTATTGTATATAGGAAAATTACTCATGAATTTGTTGGCGGCACGTGGAATCCAACATTTTGGCGTCATACTTCCCCGGAGAAATCCGACTTCCGCCTACGAGCTCTACGAGTGTAATTAAAACTCCAAATGCTGTGACATATCGTTGGATCCTACTAGTTGTATTCGACAACTATTCCAAAAATCAAATGGTCTGAGACAGCTCCATAAAACTGAAACCCCAAATAAACCAAAATAACATTGACCTAAAAAAGGATGCATAGCTTATTTAGATAACCATTGGCTTGTGATGTGGGTATCCCAATCTCGGATCCAATTCGAGCAAGGCTGTCTGGAAAAAGAACTTCGGCCGTCCCAGTTGCTGTTGTAAATTTTCCACTATTCCAAAAAATATATGGTCGAAGACAACTCAATAAAACTAATATATAAAAAGAACAAAGATATTGAGCTGGTTTTCATCATGATGTGTAGCACTACTGGAGTATTCACCTAAAACCCAAACGTTTCCCTACACTGTAGTATTATTTCTTCTTTACGCTTCTTGTGCCAGTTAGAAGTACCAAATGAAAGCAGATCGCACTCCACCTGGTCCTTCCTACCGAGGGAAAGTCTTTCAGCGGACATTCATTGAATACTTTCAGGGCAGGAGTGCTTTCATCCCTATGTACGAAATGATCTAGCTAGTGGAGCGGCTGCCTCTTAATTCGCTGAACTATATCAATGTTATCGTATACTCGCTGTTGTCAATTCTCCCGAAGAGACCCAAGACCGACTTGTCGGAAGTCGACATCGTACACATAGGTGATAGAGTTTGTTTTTGTTCGTAGAGAGAGAATTTTAATATTACTTATTTTTTACTCAATTGCTGCTGTACTAATGAAGATATGGAAGTCTTATTGTACTAATACTTTCTTTTCGGAAAAAAATAAACAAAGTAAATTGCCTACTCATGATGTGTATCGATTTTTTTCCAAGGGGTCTTTGCAAGGATTTAGCGATTAGTAAATTTCAGTTCCAAATATCAGGACCCAATCCACACATGTAAGATCCAATCAGTTTTTTGTAAAGGTGGGGTTGCAACCTTTACATATTACACTCGATAATAACGTATAAGAGGCTAATGCCTCGGTATTTGCGGACCGCGGTGTCGTCTTGTTTGTGGTTTAGGCTGAGCGCACTAAAATTCCCATTGTCGGGCAAGCTTTCGTCCGACCAGGTCTTCATCGCCATGTTTGTATAACTCTGCAAGCAGGCCGTGAGCTACAGCCGCTTTGTTGTTCTTTAAACGGGCGATCGTTATTCAAACCTGGGGTTTCAAGTGTACCACCTCCGAGTGTTCCATTTTCTTTGCTATTCAGCTGGCTGGAAAAGTGTTCCCTCCATACAGCAAGTTCGCTCTGGGCGTCAGTCCCCAGATAACCTCTCTGGGTTCTAAAGGAAACCGACCTTGAAACCTTCTGTAAGTGGACGTGTCAGCGTAAAATTTTCTAGCTGCAATTTACAACCGATTTGTTTTCATATGCAAATGTGTATTGATTCCCACATCAGTTCTCGTTATCTAGCCTATGCTTTATGGTCGATTGTATGATTGCGATATAGGCAATCTGTTTTCTCTCTACTGCAGTTCGTGTTGTGTAGTGGTATATTTCACGAGGACCCACCTTCTTCCGTACATCACACTTTGATGGCGGTGATTTTAGCCTTTAATAGCGGCACCTTCCTAATTCAGGAACCGGATATTCCAGGTGCATGCTCTCAAATCGTGATTCTTAAAACATTTGCAGAGGTCGTCATCAAAGGGGAGGTGTCATCCGAGATTTTTTTTGGATAAACTGATATCCACAACCACATGGAATTCGCCTTCACACTTCTCACGCTGTCTTCATCACTCGGCCCATATAACGAAACATTAATTTACTTGAATAAGTGTCCACGCGTAGAGCTAGCAACAATTCAATAATAGTTACGACTCTCTCTGGCTGCGAGGTCAATCTGCTGGAAAAGCTCGGTGCGCAACTGTATGATACCGGGCGCATCCATCGGCATCACACAACTTTTTAGCACAATTATTAACGAGCTGAAGGCTTTAATTTTCTCTCAACGCTATGGAACACTCATTGTTTGTCATTTTGAAACGAAATCTACACCAGTGTACACATAACATTTTATACTACCTCGTATTCACCAACTCATCTGGGCAAACAAAGTGAACTCGGATATATTAACAAGGTGATAACTGTTTCAACTGTGTGACCGCAGTTGTTGTAAAGTTATTCAGTTGCGTAGCATCAACATCCTCGACTAGATTACACTGCACATCTTGATCCCTGTCTTCACTTCTTAAGTTACATATGTATATACTCGTATATTCAATAACCGCCCAATATAGCATTCATTTTTGTTTGACTATTTACGCGCAATCTTCTGCGAACTACGAAGAAAACAATAAAAACAGCGTTCTATACGAAAATACGAACGAATTATGTGTTAGTTTGGTCCGAAACCTTGCAAGTATATTGGTGAACCCATCAGGCAGTTCTTTTATGGACGTCCCTTTTTCTGAGCTTTGAGGAAAGCAGTTTGAAATGTCCATCAATTCACGTCACCATTCAACTACCGAACTTAGATCGACTTCCGTAAAAAAAAAATATTGCAGGTTTTATGCCAGGCAAAGAAACAAATTTCAAAGCAACATAAACCGTGATTTTTTCGAACAGATCGGCCCCGGGTCTACTCCACTGATATAATAGTTTCTACATATTAACCTAGGAAAAGAAATATTTATGTTCCAAATATCAGCCATAAAAAAATTCATAGTACACAGTCCCAGGTCGAGTTCCCGCTCAACTTCCATAAGTTAATTTATGCCAAAAGCCACAAATTTAATGTAAATCAAACGGTTTAGAAGTAAACTCGATTTTTTCAAATTGACCGCCCCCAGGCCCACTTCCTAGAAAATCTTTTTTTATCGGGTCTCTGAGATCAGTGGTTATGTTTACATGTTGTTTTTCCCAACAAACTTACGGTCCAAAATTACAGAAGAAACTTACTAAAGGAATGATGGTGATTTTTAAAGGTATCTGATTTTGAAATGCGACTAAGTGTCTGTCAAAGCAACTAAGTTCATGTTCTCCTCATATCTAACCAATTCTTCTTATTTTAAATGTTATTTAGTTATTTGTTCTCGGATATACAGAACAGATGAGCAACAGCACTGATACCAAAACAAATCAATATTGACGTTAACGCATGGACGTCGTACAATCAGAATGCCAATGGGTGACAGCTTTGATGATCGATATTTCGCACTACTATATATGTAAGTTGTGCTCCCTTTTTGACACGTTCGTGAGAATTTCTAGTATTTGGCTACAAGCAGCTTGTTGGAAGAATCGCTGGGATAGTTTGATAATAGTATAACAATAGTCCTGTTCGGTGAGAGGATAGGCAGCATTCATCTTAACTGGGAACAGAACAACAGTATATCGAATGAGAAAAATTATGAGGTTATGGTTCGGTAACATAACACAAATGGGATTTTATTTCACTGTAAAAGGCACTATATTGGCTTAAAGAATGTAGTATTTCTTTACCAAAGAAATTCATCAAGTATTTTATAAGCATTAATTAGGTGTTTATTATTTATTTGTGTTAAATAAATAACTTAACATAATATCAGACATATAAATATATTACTCCAATCGATTATTCTCGATTTTTTTTTTCACTAAATATTAATTTTTATAAAAGTATGGTTACATAAATACTTTTCCTATAATTATAAACTGGTATATGTGATGTGCATTTAAAAAATAATAATATGAACGCATAGCACGGTTCTCACGGCGTGAATTTAAGCATTTTTGAAATACATACATCTATGAAATATCTATTCAACAAGTGCAATATTAAAAAAAAAAATTAAGAATCAACAGATTATACCAAAAGCATTTGTTTATTGTATAGAGCAGCAACCTTTCTTCGAATTTTTCTTCTCGTCAATTATGATATGACTAGCCGAGGTTGGACCAGGTACTACTTTTTTTGAGACTTGAGCCTGAGATGTTCCATTGCTTTCTGCGGATTTTGGCACAACGGTTTGGTCGCTGCTTGGTTTTGTACCGTTGAGTGGTGCCTGATTTTGCGAAATCTGAAAGAAATAAAAATTATATTGAATAAATTAATTTTACATATATGCATTTTTATTACAAGGGTTATATATTTGAGAAACACACTTGCTGATTGGTGACTGTGTTTAGAAAATCTTGTCTATATGCTAACCTGATAAGGGCTTTATATCTTTACATTCCTATAATATTTACCAACTTACAACGAGTTACGGAAATAAACAAGCTTTAGGAAAATCTTACGAAATAAAAATCCTTAAAAGTGTTTAGCGATGTTGCGGGAAACCACTTGAGGACACAATCAAGAGCCGAGTCAAAATGAATCTCCATACAAAATTTCGTGAACGAATTTTCTCAATTGTGTGAGACACAATAAGCGAATCACAAAAAAATATTGCCAAAAAGTTACGATTCGAGAAGATTGTTGACTGCAAACTAGCACAAAAGAGACGCAAATGTGTATTTCGAAGTATTGTATTATAGCCTATCAAAACCTGTGTGCGTTGAGAAATGTCAGTACCAAAAACGAGATTTTGAGAGTAAGATGCCTATCTCAAAGAAAGAAATTTACTGACTGGAATATGAAAATGAGTTTGAAATTTGTTTCCGTGTAAGCCGGTTATATTAATTCTACATTATTATAGAGTTTATTTGGATTCTATTTAAATATTATATATCTATTAATATGAAGGCGCTGATGCCACTCCACTGTCACCACATTCTCATTTAATGAGTACTTTAATTATGTATTTGATTGAATGGTTGATATCATTAAATTTACTAGCAAAACTATATCTGGGCAATTATTTTGTTAGAAAATATATCATTCGAATGGACTAGAAAATTTAGGATGGATTCTTGAGATGTTGTAGATATTATTAAAACAATAAAGAGAATCGAGTTTTTGAATCTGTGAAGCCCATGTGGTTGTTGTTGTAGCGGCAATCTAAGTCGCCGAGGTCATCTAATAGGAGGTCCAGGAAACGAGCTGTTTCGACGGGGTTGGACCAAAGGGAGAGCGGGGTTAGATGAGTTGGATTGAGAGGGCATATGAAGAGGTGGTTAGTGTCGTGCGGGGACTCTCCACATGCCAGGCATACGTTAGGTATGCTGGGGTCTAGTCTGGATAGGTAGTAGTTTAACCTGCTACAGTATCTAGACCTGAGTTGTACCAAGGTCACGCGGGTCTCTCGAGGCAACTCGAGATCGTTGTCTGCTATAGGTGGTGATTTTTCTCCGAGCATGTCATTCACTGGAAGGGAGTCCTTGAAGGTGTTGACTGACTCCTGGTGAATGGCGTTCAATGCTTGTCTGTACGCCGTCCAGTCCAGCGGTTGTTGCACATGTTGCTGGATTGTGTCCTTTAGATCTAGTACTCCCTTTATGACGTGCTTAATGTGGAGGTTCGGCTTCTATTAGGTGTGTATTGGTTTAGCATCCCAATAAGAACTGCTTGCACAGCAAAGCATTATGTTCCTTAACTCCTAGCATAGATTCTTCGCTGTGCAAGTGATGTTCCGCCGATATCAGGAGGTTTCCTGTCGCAGTCCTGAGGGCGGAGTTCTGGTAAGCCTGTAGCTTCTTCATCTCGTTCGTCCCCGGCGCCCAGATCGGTGCAGCATAGTTTACGACCGGCCGACCAATTACTTTATAAGTAGCCAGCAAAGTTCCTTTGTCTTTACCCCAGGTGCTGCTGGCTAGCGCTTTGAGTATTTTGTTGCGGCTCTGGAGTTTTGCGACAATTGCGGTCGTATGCGGAGTGAAAGAGTGCATGCTGTCTAGTGTTACTCCCAATATTTTTGGATTATTTCAGCCTGTTAGTTAGTTCAAGCCTGTACTCAGTTCACTTTCGAACAGAGATCCTCAATATCCTGGCCAGACGCCATTATTGTACAATCATCGTCATACGAAGTTAGGGAAACTCCTTCTGGTGGAGGTGAGAGTTTGGAAATATAGAAATTAAACAGTAGCGGGGAGAGGAACCCTCCCTGCGGGTTGAATTTATTATGAAGACCGTGTTTTTTTTTTGTATGCAAATTTTTTCGTTGGTAGTGAAGGTTACAGTCAAAGAGTTTTACTGAAAATTTTGTTTTTATTATAGAATGAAAAGCAGCACAAATAAAGTGCTTCGTGGATTTATGTGAAATTAATGAAATCATACTTCTTGTTTCCTTAATATTCTATTATGTTGGTGTCCATATCAATGTAGTTTCACAGACAAGCAATAACTTGTTTAAAGACTTTCTAAATATTTTGCCGAGTGGTAAACACCATGATAAACACAAAATATTTAAGTTTATAACTATAAAAATAAAATAAAAATTATTTGAATTTAATCGAAAAAAATCCTAATCGAATTATAACGAATAAATCATAATTTTCTCAAACAAATTAAAGCCGGTACGGTCGGTCTCTGGATAGATTTTTTAAGACATCGAAGTATTTCAGGATGTAGAATATCTGCTTTGTACTTTTTCACAGATCCATTGGTCAATTGCGGAGGAATCACTCAGGCTACAAGCAAACATCGAAGTCTACAACTCGTTAATTACTCTGTTATTCTAGGTAACGGCATAAGATCACCCGTGGATTTTTCCAAAGATGCCTCTTTGTGTATTAATAAGAATTAAAACACAGAGGAGCGAAAAACTGTATATTATATGTAGAAAAAATTAGTGTGTTTAACATATGTATACAACTAGCAAATATATTGTAGTGCTAATTATGTTGAAAAATAATATAAAGATTTCTTCGATTTGAAGAATAATTATTTGCTATCTTTCAATACCGCGTAAACACAATAGCAAAGTGCAGTAAAAAATGAAACATGCCCAATTTCAATTGGGAGAGAAAAAACTGATCCTTTGCCAAGGGTTTACATACCTAATAAGGGGTTTTTATTTATTTTTTGAATATACGAAATATTTCAGTTTTGATCATTTATATTTTTTACACGGTATTGAATAATGTATATCCATACGAGTTAATTTAATGAATATAAATTGAATTTATAAACTGTTTTCATACTCGATTTGGGAAGTATGGGCGGTTCGTTTGTTTTAAAAGTTTTTCGGTTTGCCGCTAAAATACTTATAAAGTTTTACTGGATTGTTCCCGTATGATTGGTACATTACGCAGATTCATGTACTCTTTCAGCTTATTTTTAATAATATTAATTAGCTTCACGAAAAGCAGGAATCTTTCTGACTGGATTCGACGACAATTCTTTGGCACTTATTTGGAAAATATCATAGCTAAAGATGTATTCAAATCTAAAATATACGCGATTTTGTTATCAGATAAAAATTTTTGACTTGTTTGCATATATGCCGTATTGTTTATTTCTAAATCTTTGTTCCGCATATTTGCTACTACGACCACTTAATTCTTAAAAATAAAGACATTTTTCTTCCTCTGTTTGTATGTAATAATTTAGTGATATTTACATATGACGTAAGGCATTGGCTATGTATTCTACAACAAATAACATTTTTTGATTACTTTGTTTTTTGGATTCTCCATCCAAAGTACAGGACAAATAGATTACATTAGTAAAAATTAATTTCAAATGATTTTACATATTTATTTCTATTACTTACATGAATTTGATCAGTTGTTGCTTCTAAAGTAACAGCAAGGCCATTATCTTCATGTTTTGCTTCCCTATTTTTTATGAAGTTCTCCTCCGTTGGTGTTATCGGTTTTCCACCTAAAAAACAATAAGTTCTAATAAGAAACGGCACAATAAAAACCTTGGAAATAATACAAATAATACTGTTTTAGCATACCAATGTTTAGTTTTTTTAATTGTGGTTAAAAAAGTATATTGCAAATATTGTAGGTTTGAAACACGATATTTCCCTTCTCTCCACTAGACTAATTATGCATAGTTAACCCTATATCCTAAGTACCGAATAAGTTTATCAAACTACAAGGAAAACTATTGATTAGTAAATATATGCATACAATAAAGAACTTGTATTGATAAGCATAAGCACCTCTCGCACCAGGTAAGATTTGGTGGTAATGCCCAAAATGTGAATATTACAAATTTGAAATTTGTATATATCTATAACATCTTTTACACAGATCTTTAGGTGATCTCGAGAAGATCGAATCGAGCTTTAAAATTTTTCAACGCTAGCCACATTTGTTGGCCATGTTGAGATCCTTATCTACTCTACATTATAGACTCGGAAAAGTACGTTATGGAAAGGAAATATAGTATTTAATGATAAAATAGAGGATTTTGTTAGCCTAGGTATGCTCTACAATTATTTTCTAAGCCACCTCTGAACGGCTGATGGAATTTTTTATTTCATGTCCGAAAAACAATCCGTATTTTTATCAGTTTAAAAATCAGTTTCATCTTGTGAAAAAGGCAGTACAAAAATAACGCCAAAGTAGAGTAAAGTGGAACTACGTGAAATTAGACATAAAAGTGGCCTGGCTCAGCAAGAAATTTTGGGTCATATGGTCCACTACGCCCTGTCATCAAATTGCGTCTCGCTACCAGAGTCAGTTTCATTGGTGAGCGCTGCTGGTACAGAGAGGACGCGGATATGTTTGAGAATATATGTACATATATTCCAATCCAAACAGAATAAATGCGTAAATTTATATATGTTATACCTAGGTTTGCCAACACAGGTGCTACTTTGGACTGAGTAGGCAATTGAAAGTAAAGTCGTCTCCTGACGAACGAAAACCAAACTCTACAAGTCCTGCTATATGGTGCGGAAGCATTGACGTTGACATCTGATGAGTCGGCGTTAGGAGTTTTCGAGAGAATGGTGTTGCGCAAGATTTACGGTCCTTTTCACATTGGCAACGGCGAATATCGCAGCTGATGGAACGATGAGCTGTACGAGTTATACGGCGACATTGAAATCGTTCAGCAAATCAAGAAGCGGCGGCTCCGCTGGCTGGGTCATGCGGTCCGGATGGATGCGAATGCTTCAGTTCTGAAAGTTTTCGATGCGGTACCCGCCGGTGGAAGCAGAGGAAGGGGAAGACCTCCACTCCGTTAGAAAGACCAAATAAAGGAGGACCTCGCTGTATTTAGTATTTCCAATGGTCGCGAAACAGCAAAACAGAAGAATCGAATGGCGCAATGTTGGTAAATCGGCCGTAATCGCAAAAACAGTGTCTACGGCAGTAAAGTAAGTAAGTAATAGCTATGTTTATTATGTTAAAAAACCTGTTTGTATGTATGTTTTCAACAAAGCGAATCGTATTCGAAACTAAAAAATACGTTTGAAGGTAATTTTTCGTATATACTCCATAATATAACCAATTGAAGGTACTCCGGGGAGTAGTTTTTGGATTAGATCAAAAACTAGTTTCATGGTTTACCCGGGTGGTATGTGTTCCAGCCCTAGGACATCTCAATGTAAATTGGATTTTTTTTTGTATGAATTGTGGTTACTTATGCATTACCAATGTCCGCGTGGAGTATATATTTCACGCTTGTTAGAAGTAGTGGCGGTGTTTGCAGGGTTAGCCCGTTCTTGCTGGGAACCCAAACAATGCAAGCCAACTGCAAAAATGGGAGTCAACAATACAATTATAGTTGCGCTGTCCTTATTTCTGCCTTTTTATCTTGGCATATTAACAAGTTTCTAATCTCTCACAATTTTCATAGCTTTTCGTATTATTATTATCTACATAGGTTGTATATATTCCGTCGAATACCTCTAATCATGTTTACTATTTCATCAGCCTCTCTGGATAAATCACCACCTGGTCTAAATGGATTGTCCCAACCGGAATCGGTACTAAAATTAAAGGTTTAAATAATATTAGCTTTTAACATAATTCATTTAGTATATTACCTTTGCTGTCGATCGTAGTTTGTAATTGTTGTCACAGTAGCCATTGCTTCGTTTTAATGTTTTAATTTCAAATTTAGTTATTTTGAAGTTTCTGTCGATTTGAGGCCGTTGATAAACTTGGATGTGCAAAATGGAACGTTAAAATCTGCAAGTATAGATAAAATTATGTATTGAATAAAATTAATTTTTAAATTCTTAAAAATTCTCTAGAGTTGCAAAAAAGTATTAATCGCTTTATGAATAGGTACAATCATGAACTGGAGTGTTGTCGGATCCACACAGACTATATAAGATATACAAATATTTTGAAATGAAGTTTTGGATAATATCTTTGACCAATCGTCGAATGCCTATGAACATGACCAACGCGGTCACCAAGCTTTAGTTTTGCTTTCAGACGTGAGACATGATCATTACATACTAAATATTTCGAATATTTTTTTCGTTGGTTCGATCCCTGCCATAAGAAGTCTGATGAGGAGATGTAGTGATCTCCGAAACAGCTGTAACTTCTACCATTTTTCTTTGTTGTATAACAAATATTCAATTCATACAAAGAAGTTTACTGAATATTTATATAAAAAAAAATTACTTTATAGCATGGCCGCAAATACAAATTACAAATATTTTATTTTGTCGGGGCATCAATGTTTTTATTTCCTCTGTTTTTTATTAACTTCCTGTGGCTCCTATTTTACTTTTCTACCAATTTCCGATGAACCGAGCGCTTGTTAGTATTTCGAAATAACCCAGCTTAGGCCGGTGAACAATCAAACAGAACTATTTGAAGTCTTTTTTAATTATGCTGATTCACATTTTTATAATAACGACTCTGTTTATAAGGAAGTAAAACTAATGCCATCATAAAAGTTAGTTTGAGAGATCTGCGAGCTCAATTGTTCTTGTCGCTAAGAAAAGTATGGGAAGGCGAAGACATGAAATTTTAACCGGACGGAGTCTGAAGCGCACATTCTAAATAATTTCATTTTCGACGTGTACACACCGTTAAACTAGTTTCTGAAATTTCATTTCATTTAATTGCAGAGATAAAAATTTCACTGCGACTTAATTGTCTGCAATTAAATTTCCAATTTCTCATGAGTATTTCAGTATGATAATAAAATAATACTTTTAATGTGAATAAGTCAATTTCCGAAATTTAAATTTATTATTTCACTGGCAATTTGGTAAAAAAAAATTAATTGATACGTCTGACGGAATTTTATCTGAGATTAATAAAACTTAAAGGAAGAGGATTCTATGTATTAAAATGAAACAGTAGTTAGAAGAGAACACAATGTATCTGTGTTTTTTGCCGTTCCGTCAACCTGCCCTATTATACATTTCGACTCGAATCGAAAATTTTTCGTTTTGCAAATCTATTCTGAATTTTGACCGAAATTAAGTTTTTGTTATTTACAACTTCGCAACATTGTCTAATCTTCAAAGAGGACTTCTAAAGCAGAGAGTAGATACCAAAGCTTTGAGCTGGACACATTAGCTTTAATTTATGAGCTGGGGCGATTCCGCTTGTACTTAGAAGGAAATAAAGTAGAACTGAACTCCATTATACAAACATAATTGCAACAATATGCAGAGTGAACATAGACTTTCAGTTATAAATAACTCAGTCTCGCGATCAAAAAATAGATAATTTAAAACAAACAAATTCGAAACCGAAATTATGAAATCTATGCAATGGAGAAAGCTACTATATGTTCATGATCAACTAGGACACCAAGGCACTGAGAAATGTTACCAAAATTAGATATTAGTTCCAGGATATGAAAAACAAAACTGCATTGAATTTAAAACACTTAGACCTACTTCCGTCATTACAATCAAAGAGAAAACACATTTTTATAATAAATAACGTTTTTACTAAATAAGTGAAATTATTATGCCCAGTACAAAAGAGGTTCTTGCCGCGATTAACAAATAATATAAGTGCTGTAGCCGACCACAAATATGAATTATGGACAGAGGTAGTTGCTTTGCATCGAAAGAATTCGTAAAGTATATTATATATAAAGTAAAATCTTGACACACGTAAAAGTAACAGTACACTCTCCCCAAGCAAACGCCCCAAATTTAACACGCTGATCGTGTACACATAAAACACAATCGAGTTTGCCTTAAACAATTCAGTAAATACATAGATTGGAATAACTCCAAGTCAAGCCCTCTTCAGAATAAATCAGAGAGGAAAAATGATAGATAAACTTACTGAATACCAAGACGAATACATTTCATCAACGTGAGGAATAACTGGCAACGTTTGCCGGAATTCACCAGATAATAGTAAAATAGTACCCCCGAAAAGTCTATCACTGCATCCTGCATAGTCCAATATAATGTTTCAAGCGAATGCTTATGAGCCTTAGTACACTCATCCCAAATTATGAACGAAGTCTTCCGTAACGCTGCTGCCATTCCGCTTCTTTTTTTATGTTCCACGTTGCATTTGGATTGCTATGAATATCTAATGGTAGCTTGAAAGCAAAATGTGCTGTTCGCCCACCATTCAACAAAGTAGTAGATATGCCTGGTGCTGCAACTGCTAATGTATTTTTTCTTGTGACCGTAATTTCGCAATAATGAAAGGTAACAAATATGTTTTACAGGTTACACCTGTAAATAAATGCGCTTAAGGAACCATCTGTTTCAGACTTATGGAACGTTGTTGATCAGTTTTTTTTATTAATTTTTAATAATAACTATCCAATCATCTAAGTTGGACCAAATAACATTTTAATGTCAACTTTCATGAATTTCAGTTGAATAAAGATGGACATATTTTGGGTATCAGTATAAGCTTATTCGGTTCGACAAAATAAACTACTCGAAGAAAAGGTTAGTGCCTGATACAAGCAGAATTATTGGATTTTAGTTGCCTCTTACGCCTTACCCAATAATAAATTTCTAAAAATTAAAATTAGGGGAAGATTCAAATTTCCGAAATTTTCGAGTTTTTAATTAGTAGCCATACGGCCACATATCATCTCACATCCGATTTGTAGATCGTGATGCACGTTAAAATAACCCAAATCTAAATTGTTTTCGCCTCTGAGCAGCCCGGAAAGATTTGCCCTGACATTCTAGGGTAGTATCCCTGCGGTCGAAGCCACCGTCAATCAGTTTTATCACTGGGATCGCAGCTATTGTTGTGATATCACCTCATAAAATTCACCATCTCTTCGATCTTTCCCTTGAGTCCGTTGCAAATAAGCAGTAGAAATAGTCTGTATAAGGAAGTGAGGATGTTCCTGCAACACGGAAAAACGAACCCCTCTACTCATGGTTGAAGTCCAAAGGCGGCACCAACCGGAGCAATATTTAAACTTAACTGATGTTGTTGTAGTTGTAACCGCAAAATTATTCCCCAAAGTACTTTTTAGGGAATGTTGCGGGAGTGACATTTCATGGGCGGATAAAAATCCGGGTCGTTCCGGTATAAAGACCCGACTGTCGCGGGAACTACTGAATTTTAGTCGCCTCTTACGACAAGCATGCCTTACCGCGGGTAAATTGTTGAGCCGATAACCCGCAGGGGACTGATATTAAGTTTCGACGCACCATTGCCGCAACTGACCATGCGGGACACTGGAAATTTTTGTGAAACCCCTGCCCAGAATGTGGAGGTCGAGCTCGGGGAGTCTCGTTTAACCGGCTGTGTTGAGAGTTCAACGACCAAGCCATCGTAGTCGCTGCCTTTTGATTCACTGAACTATGCCAATGTCTTCACATGACTTGTACTGCTCATCTTTCCTCTCTCGAAAACTCATAACGCCGTCTCAACAGATGTTGTCAATGTCCATACCTCCGCATCATATAGCAGGAGGAGTTTGGAATTCGTTTTTACCAAAATCAGACATGATGGCGTAGAGGCAAATCTTTTTCGTGCTATCATAGGCTACATTGAACGCAACGAAGATGTCACGTTTATTTTCCAGAATTTGGTGCTTAGTGAATATCTGATACGGAGTTGATTTGCCAGGTCTAAAGCCACACTGGTAAGGTCCAATGAGTTCGTTGAAGGTTTGCTTTAGTCGTTCACACAATACGCTTGATTGGACCTTACATGCGGTATTAAGTAAGCTTATCTAATAGTAATTGGCACAGACAGTGATATCCCTTTCTGTAGACATGCTTTCCACCAATCATATTTTGCACCTTATCAGGCTTGTCGTTCTCGTCGAAAGCCCCGACTGTGGCGGGAATTATTGGATTTTAGTCGAATATTTAATATGCATAGGGAAAAACCAGTAACTTCGTAAGCAGGGTCGGGTCGCCGAATGGTAAAAGCTCTTGGCCGGACAAAATCCGTGTCACAACTGGTGCGTAGAACATAGGACTTGCTGCTGTGAGAGTCAATGCATTTTTTATACAAAGGGCTATTTATGCATCTCACAAGGGGTGTCAATAATTTGTTAAGACCACGTGTTACAGAAAATTTTAATTTTCATGACTAAGAAAAGGTGTCTTAGAATACTCTGGGTCTCCCCATTTGTTGGAAAAACTTCAAGACGAACACCACACATTAAACGATCAACTCAACCGAAAAGGGGTTATAAAGTCCCAAATACATATATACATATGTATATACCTAAAAGTTCGCGTAAATTTTAATGGAAAATAAAAGTTTACTGTTATGACTATATTTACCTACTGGAGCCCAAGAGTAGGTACTTATTTTATGTTCATTACCCAAAAATTTAGAGCGAGGACAAGCTTTTTGAAAAAATATATTTTAATTGAAATTGTTGAACTACTGCACGAATTGTTTAAAAGCTCGAATGTTAAAAAAAGATGATTTGAGTAATTAGCGCACTTCTCGGTACCCGGTTATATAGAACTTTAGTATAACCATATCTACAATAAAAGAAAATACTTCTGCCTTATTTAGTTCAATCCAATATTTTAGGAGATACGCGACAACACCTATATCTTAAGTAATTAAAAACTCGAAAAAGCAAATTACCCAAGCCACTTCTTTTTTGTTCTCCAGGGTATTTCCAAAGTTCACGACTATAAACAATTTGGATTTGATTTATATTGACAAAATATAATTTATATAGTAATATTTGTATGTATATATTAATGTATAAAAGTAAAAATTCCCTGGTATATAGATTTACAGAAGTTTTAAAGATGTTTGTATGTTCGTTTTTTATAGTTACTTAATTTAAAAAGATTTAAATTTTATAAAAATGCAGCTTTATTTCAAGAAGACGTAGTTTACTAACAAAAATGAAACAATTTTTACTCAAATAAAAACAAATTAATGGTGCAATGAACTGCCTTATTAAGAGTGGTGATGTCATAGGTAACTTAAACATACATACATTTTAAATTATTCCACTACAAAAATTATTTTTAATGATGCTGCTGTATCAAAGTAAAGTAAGGCTAACTTGTTATGACCCAATTAATGATTTTCTACTCGAGTAAGACCTTGACATTTTTCAGAAAATACCACCTTCGTCAAGTAAATCACCACCTTTGCTCGAGAAGTCTTAAAAACAATTACCTTGATAATAAAAAATATTGATATACAATTTTGCTTCCAAAGTTCCCAAGAACAATATAAAAGACATTTGCTTTAAAAACAATTATTGGTCAGGGCGTTTCTACATCCTCAACGTCATGTGTGTACGTATATCTGCTATGACAACATTTTCTCGTATCTATCGCTTATGCTATGACAACATATTAAACTGGAAGTATTTTATTAAATAGTTACACATACAATTTTGCCAGCATCATGCATATGCGTAAATTCTATAGTAAGCACTAAAACATATATGAATTATGAAAACAATCACAATTTCAACGAAACATGTATAACATATATTCTTCACTTTTTAAATATTATGCTAACCTTTTGGTACTTTTACGTATTATAATGATATTTCCACAAAACCTCACAATTTTTGTTATTTATTGCACATCAAGTATTCGCGCTTTAAGCTAAATAAAAACTCCGAAACAAGATATAGATAATATAGCAATGTTGCCACACCCCAGAATAGAAATTGGAATTACTTAAGTGGGAAATCACGATCAAATTTGTGGCGGGTATCACTAAATCGTACAACTAAGCTTATTTTCGACGACTTTCACATCCACAAATATTTAAATGAATTGTGAGTGTTCCAATTGTATGTTTTTTTTATGCATATATGTTTTGGCTATTTATTGAGAAAAGCATCTAATTTAATTTCAGGGCAGATGAACAGTCAATTTTTTGGGAGGACTATTTTGGATGAAGATTTTTCCACATTCGTACTAAGTTTTAGACAACAGGATTTTCTATATACATTTAATAGTTGATAAGTTGTTATGCAAATTGAAGATTCTAATACATTTGCTATTTTTAACAATGGCAAATTACAAACTCTAAAATGAAATTAAATGCTTTTCATATGACAGCTTTATACAACAACTATTACATAATTGTCATTTCGTTACGTTTTTTTAATAGCTAAAAAAAATTTTGCGAAATTACCCCCAATTTATAATTAAACTTCATTCGACAAGTAATATATTTTCAGTTTTTTTTATAGCTTTTGCTAAGTTTTTGGCTATCCTTAATAATAAGCTATTTCAGTTTTTTTAATTGTATAAAAAATATAAGTTTCAAGGGGATGTAACAAGATTACTAAATTTAGGTTGGGGAACCGCACTCAGCTGCAATGTGAGTTATTTTGAAAAAGTCCCGTATCTTGTTGTCATTGGTTTTAAGGCCCATACATGCCATATATTGGTTTTGTATGTAGTTGCTTTTGGAAGTATTGAATAGTATTTTCGAGCCTTAAAGAATAAAATATCGAGCTTACCCTATATCGATACAACACCCCCTTTTCAATTTGTTGTGTTTTGTAAACAGTTTGGATAAAGCATCTACCGTTAAATATCTGATAGAAACATGGCATTCATTGACCATAAACCTGAAGAAGGTGTTCTTGGTGATGGCTGGGATGAAAATATGTTAATAAAATCGTACGGCAATTGCGTGAAACTTGTCAGCGAGGATATTGCAAAGCATTTGGCTAGAAGTACGAATGCAAATGAAGCAGCCAATTTTGAAACGCAATCAAATACATTAAATGATTTTAAAGTGGGTGATTACGTTCGAGCTACGTATGGGGACGATGGATGTGATTATGAAGCAAAAATAATTTCCATAGATGACTCCAATGAAACGTGTTCAGTGAAATATATTGGATATGAAAATGAAGAAACGGTAAACATAAAAGACCTGGTGCCTTCATGGGGGAAAAAATCACGCCGTTTACAGTTTCAAAAGGCTAATAGCCAAGACGAGAAAGGTAGAGAAGGAAGACAAGGGAAAGATTTCAGTGGAGAAAGTTTTATTAATTTTGTGCCACCACCTCCACCTTTGCCGCCAATGCTATTAAAAAATATGAACGGATCCGAACATTTATCTGCTATGTTGATGTCGTGGTACATGAGTGGTTATTACACAGGAATATATGAAGGGATTAAGATGTCTAAAGAAACCAATGGCCAGAAAAACTGTTAATAATCTATTAGAACATAATTTAACTAATGTATGGTCATGTTTATTATAATAAAAAGGACACGACATGTAAAATAGAAATAATGGCTTCTTTTAAAGGTTTTTTTTGGCAACAAAACGGCTTTTGTAAATCGTGTGTATATATAACATCAAATTACTGTATGTCCCTTCATTTGTTGGAAAATAATCAAAACTTCTTTAATGGAATATATGCATACCGCAGGTCATTGATAATATTTATCGGTTACAACAACAACGGTTACCTAGCCACGTTGTTGTTATTTTGTAGCGGTTCGCTAATCACGCTAAGGTACAGGTTTGATCGATCTAAGTCGCCGAGGTCATGTGGTGGGAGGGCCAGGAAATGAGTTGTTTTGACGAGATTGAACCAAAGAGAAAGGGGGGCTAGATGGGTCGGTTTAAGGGGGCATGTGAAGAGGTGATTAATGTCTTGCGGAGACTACTCAAACAGGGCATACGTTGGATATGTTGGGGTCGAGTCTGAATAAGTAGGAGTTTAACCTGCTACAGTATTCAGACCTAAGTTGTGCCAAGGTCACGGGGTTCTCTCTAGGCAGCTCGAGATCGTTGTCTGCAATGGGTGCTGGTTTTTCTCCGACCACGCCATTCGAACAGAGGTCATCAATATCCTAGCCAGACGCCATTATCGTGCAATCATCGGCGTACGAGGTAAGGAAACTCCTTGGAGGAGAGACTTTCGAAATGTTAAAGTGAAACAGCAGCTGTTTAATTTTTCTGAGTTTCGATGTTTCACCTCGGAATTTTACCGATGGTTGTCGACCACTCAGGTAGCCCATGATCCACCTCTGCAACCCTGGTGGTAATGAGGATTCCTCAATGTCCGTTAGCAGCACTGAATGGTTGACGGTGTCAAAAGATTTTAACGGATCCAGTGCTACCAGGACAGTTCGCGAGCAGGGTCGGTTTTTGTAAGGCCATTGACTCTGCACTTTCTGTAAGCCATGCTGATGTGTTGCTGGACGCATGTGGCGAGTGAAAGTCGGGAGTGGCATTTGCGCATACGGCGGGTTACACGTCCCTTCGTTTTGTCTACCGAAGGATGCAGCGTAAAAAGTCCGCTAAAATAGCTTGCGCAGGCGCGATCACCAAATGAAATTTCCACCCGGTCATCGCGTTTCGTCAGGTTAGACAAGGAGTTGACTGTAGCCCAGAGGAAAGATTGCAAGACTTTAAGTGTTCCTGCCATTTTTTCCTCTTAAGGTAGTTTATTTCTCTGCAAATCTCCGCCTCAAAGTCCCTGTTTAGGGGATTCCCTCGATCGGAATTTCGGAGGATGTCCGCTTCTGTAGGAAAATTTGGGCGGCTTTCCGGGGTGTGAAGCGGGCGGCAGCGGTCACTACGATCCTGTTGGAGTGGGGAGAGCACTGAAGGCGTTCTTTGTGGGTTCCGTGAAGCCGGACCAGTTAGCTTTTTTCAGAGTTGACAAATGTCAGGTGATCCGCGGAAACAAAGTCGGAAGGCAGCCAGAGCAGGAGTTGCATCTGACTGAGGTTATGTTCCGACACACTATGGTCCGTTGTGGATGGGGGTTGATATGGAGTTATGCTCCGGGGAGCTCTGTGAGACCGTAGAGGTCTGTTGGTTACCTAAAGTGGGTAAAGGTGTTGAAGGCACTGCCGTGGAGGCTGGAGGCGCACTTTGGTTTTGGCAGCATGGGGCCACATGGCTTGTCCCAATAGGACTTAAGGCCTGAGCAGGTCTCAAGATGACTCCAACCATTGCACAGGTTGAGGTGGAGGAGTGGTGGAGACTTTTCTGGCACATGCAGCAGAAATAATCCGTCAGAGCAGGGTTCGATTCAGCAGCAGCCCTGATAAGAAGGATTTTGAGCAACCCAGCTGCGAGATATTGCTCCGTTTACGAACCTAGACCTACTTATGTTACTTGTTAACCGTTGCCTTTTGATTCGCTAAACTATGCCAATGTCATCACATGGCTTGTACCTTTCGCTCGAAAACTCATTATGCCGACTCAACAGATGTTGTCAATGTCCATACCTCCGCATAATATAGCAGGAGGAGTTTGGACTTTATTCTTACCAAATTCAGACATGATGGCGTAGAGGCAAATCTTTTTCGTGCTATCATAAGCTACATTGAACTCAACGAAGATGTCACGTTTATTTTCCAGAATTTGATGCTTAGTGAATATCTGTTAAGTGGTTTGGTTGATTTACCAGGTCTAAAGCCACACTGGTAAGGTCTAATGAGTTCTTGAAGGTGAGCTTTAGTCTTTCACACAATACGCTTGATTGGACTTATATGCGGTATTAAGTAGGCTTATCTAATAGTAATTGGGACATGTAGTGATATCCCTTTCTCTGGACATGCTTTCCTCCGATCATATTACAGCACCTTATTAGGCTTGTCGTTCTCGCCTAAAGTCCCGACTGTGGCGGGAATTATTGGATTTTAGTTGAACATTTAACACGCATGGGGAAAAACCAGTAGTTTCGTTTGCAGGCGTACTATAGTGAGCATAAGTGGATGTTGACTTGGAAATCGTTCGCTATCGCAGCCACATCTCTGTTGAACAGACGCTGCAATTTGACTTCATCGAACCGAAAATGTTGGAGTGACTTCTCTATTGCTTTTTTTTAGTTGTGACCCAAGGCTCCAAGTAGGAATTGAATTTAGCCCCGCGACTGTGTGTCTGCCTACCACACTTAAGATACATCTTCACACGATTAACAATAATTGAGGTGAAATCCTTTGGCCAAAGCGAACTGGTTCTTTTGCCTTTTTTACTTGTCTTAATTTTAATAATTCCTTTCCTTTCTTTTTTTCATTATTTTGTGTAGAGCTTATCAAATGTAATCGCCGTTTAGACAAAGTATATTGATATGAGTTCTATTTCAATATGCCATAAATTTCATGGCTGAATAAGCACCAAATAGAAGCTGAACCTCCACCTAGCCTATTTAAAAGACACACGTACAACAATCGCTGGAAAGGACAGCTTACAGACAACACCTTCATATGCTCCCTCTCCATGAATGGTGTACTCGGAATGAAACCAAAAGGCATCGCAGACAGCGAGCTGGAGCTGTATCGAAAGACTTGCGTGACATTGGCACATCTTAGGTCTAGAAATTGTAGCAGGTTAAACTCCTACCTATCTAAACTCGACCCCAACATAAACAACGTATTTATTAATGTGTTTTGTCGTGTTGTGGATGAAATGTAATAATAACTTAGAGGTTTTTCGTTTTGCTGATAAAGTTAGAAATGGGTCTCAAACAGAGATTGCTTGTTATCGCATTTAGACCTCTTTGTTTCAATATTTTGATACAGTCGCTAATCTCAAATATGTAAAGATACTATTTTTGATACTGCATTCAATTTTGAAATTCACTACGGTGAGTTTCAAGCAAATTCGTCGCAAAAAACAAATAGCCTCAATTGCTTGCGACCTTGAACTAGAGATGTACATAATACGGGTGCTCTCTTAGTTTAGGAAATGCAGTAATGGAAGTTCAGTTGAATGTAGAACTCGGTAGTGACAGCATTGGTTAGATAAATAGATAGATTAATAAGGACGATATGAACCGCCACCAGTGGTCTATTGTCCCCTCCAATTTCTTCACATTATTTCAACCAGACCTAATGACCTTAGGCTAGATTGATTTAATGCGGTTATCCTCCACTTGAATGAGCTTCACATTCAATTATAATGCGCATCGGTGTTTCTGGTACCTGCTCGCAGACTCGACAAGTTTCATCGAAGCATATTCCGAGCCTGTCGATATCTTCCGTCAGGAGTCTTTGAACCATCTGTGTACTACACAGGGAGTGCGGTTTTAATACTCTGCGTACCTGAGTTCGGTTCCACGATCTTTTTCCCCTAGGGATATTTTGAAACTTATTATCTTTAAAATTTCATCTATATTGAAATTTGGTAGAGGTATCCTTTCTTGGCAGATATTTTTTTCCTTTCCCTGACCCCTCGTTTATCATTGTCAATAGGACTTTATGTGTGAAAGTTCTATTGCTTTGTGGAGAGGTGTAAAATCAAGGATAGCTACTGTAGGACACGTTCTCATGTATCCAGTTATTCAGACGCACGGTAGTCTTTCCAGTTGAGTTAGTGTAGCTTTGGCCGTGCCAGCGCACAGTTAATCTTTTTGACCAGGCAACAGCTCCATATGTTATCGTTGGTTTTACTATCATGGTATACATCCAGTCCAACATTTTGGCGGTGCACCCCCATGTTTTCCTTGCTAATCTTCTGCACACCATCACTGATATCGTCGCTTTGCTTATTATATACTTTACGTTACTCTAGCATTAAAAATCACCCTTAGATATTCTATTACTATTCTATTACTAATCTTTTGTCTTTTAGGTTTAATTTATTTCTTCTTGTAATGCCAAGGTTAATGTTTTTGGGTGACAGCGGTAGCGTAGTGGTTTGCATTGCGTACTGCCATTGGGAAGGCTCGGGTTCAAATTCCCGTGCGACCATCATCCAAAATTTATAGACAACTAATTTTTAAATAAAAAATTAAGCTAAATTTTCTATTTGCGGTCGCCCCTCAGCAGGAAATATCTACCCCTCCGAGTATATTTCGGACATAAAATAAAGAAACCTCATAAAAAAAAACATCAGCCGTTCGAAGGCGGCTTAGTATAAATTGTAGGTCCCTCCATTTGTTGAAAAAACATCAAGTAGCAAAACCATAAGTTAGAGGAGGAGCTCGGCGGAAAATCGCTTCAGTGGTTACAAAGCGCCAATTATGTATATGCTTAGCCCTGCTTCTAAGCACCACTTGCTTGTTAATGTGAGTGCTCTCTGTATGATGTTACACGGTGTGCTCTCGAGTTTGTCCACTGCTATTATCTGTTGCCTGTTAGGAGCTCTAGTATGTCATCTACTTCCAGGCTCTCATAGGAAGGGTGCCTTTGTAGTCTTCATCTGAATGGCTTCGTTGTCTGCAACTCTCTCTCTCTATTCTGTTGTTAAGCATGAAGTTGGGCCAGTTTCGAATCGGTTCTTCTACTCTTTTCTTACGAAGTGCTTTGTTAACTGTTTTATGAGAAGTGTTGTCACAACCTGATGTATGCCGTTGCAAGGCTTTATCTCATGATATGAAATGTTAATTGTTCTCCGTTTTGTAATAGTGCTGGCCGTATACCATCTATTCCCGGTGATATAAATTTCTCAAAGGAGTTAAATGTCCACTTTACCGAACTATAGCTCATTAACCTTTTAGCTAAGTGCCAGGTATCTTATCTTTGTCTCGGTTAGGGCTTTCCCTATTGCTAGTTGTAATTTCTGCTGTTATTGAAATCTGGAAAGTGTGTCTTGATGCAATTTTACTTTACTCATGGGGTTTCTTATTTTCTTACTAGTCTCGACTGAAGATCATGGAAAGAATTGTATAATTCTATGATATGACAGAGATGATTCCGGCGAAACAATCCAAAGTAAGATCATATTTTCAGATCAGGTATTTCCTTTTTTTATATCTAGTACCTCTATCCTATTTCTTCTAACGAATGTGGGCGTACACCCAACGTTGACGACATGAAGGTCGTTACTTATTATGAATTTTATTAGGGACTCAACCAAAGATGACTAGATACGAAACTTACTCAAATCGCAGCTGAGAGCGTTCCCCCATCTCACATTCTAATGTTGGCAGCAGTGTCAGATCGGGGAACATTCAACATCTGATGTGCAAAAAGCACCAGTGCCACTATGCCAATAAAAAAATCCATTGTTTTTGTTTCAAAAGAAATTTGCTTCAGCAGTAAATATTAAAGAAATTATTGTAATTTTATTACTAAAACTTAATATAATTAAATACTGAATTGTTTCTCAATGAAATTTTTCAGTGAAATTGCAATTAAAGACGTCGTTGTTTGTAATAAAATACCCAAAATATACCTAAAAATCCAAATAAGTCGTTTTTCCATCACAGTGGCACTGTTCAGAAATGTTATAAAAAATGCGGATTTTTGAGCGCTCTCACGGAATAAAGAGTTTCGTATGTAGTCATCGTTGCTAATACTAGTGGAATTGATGTTGTTGTCTCTTCTTTGGTGGTAATTTCTGTTGCTACCAGTAGGGGAATTTCTATCGTATTATAACGATTTTCGGATTGTTACAATTAATTAACGATAATTTAAACGATTGTGCTATTCTCTACATACAAGTTACGATTGTCGGTTCGTAAAATGTCTTAGCGAAAACCTTACGATATTCGCTATTTCTAACATGGTATAACGATTTTCGGATCGCAAATAACATGGAATTTCCACGACTGCCCAATAACGTGTTTCGCTCTCTCAATTACGAATGCGAATTACTTCTATTGACACGGAATGCAATTTTACAGTTTTCGGTTTCGCTTGTTTGTTCCAATTGAAAACGTATGGGAAAAGAGATTTTAGAAGAAGTTAACAAAATTTTTAATTGAATTAGTAATACAATGCCAATTTCTTTAATAATTTCACATTTTTCTTCTTTAATAGACAAATAGTTTTTGGTTTGAAATCAATGTTTGTGTGTTAGTGTCTTCATTTATGATTCTCTGCTCTTTTGTTTTGATTTGTCATCTGGTTTCGATAAAATTTCGATAAGAATTAGAGAAGGCATCGATTTGGTCATAATTCGCATGACAATTGAGAACGAATTACCCACTTTTACTGTAATTCGCTCAGGAAAATTTGTATGGCGAATTAAATAATTCGGCATATATTTGGAGTGCGAATAACGTTTGAGAAAGCGAAAACACGTAATTGGGCTGTCGTGGAAATGTCGTATAAAACTTAGCGATAATTCTAACGATATTCGCTATTTTCTAAAGTGGTATAACGATCTTCGGATTGCAAAGAAGACTTAGCGCAAATTTTAACGATTTAAATATTCGGTGAACTTATTTTAACAATATTCGCTATCGCTGTTGTTGAGAACTACTCGGCAAATCGCTTACTAAGCGACAAATTTTTTTATGTTGTTAGCGATATCAACAAAATACTGTTATTTCGTTAAGGTTGAATTAAAGTAAAGTGAATGGGGAAATTGACTTAGTTTTATAAAAAAATTAAAATAAAACTATAAGCAAAAATGGCTTTTGAGCATTTGGCATACGTTTTATCCCAAGATGAGGAGGTATTGTACCCTTCATCATTGGGTAGAAGTTTGCTTCCGGAAGTTGAAGATCGTTTCCACTTGAATGCAACGGAGTTTTTTGATAGCCAAATAAAAGGCTGAAAATAATAGCATTGTCTACGGAAAAAATGATAATAAAATATTTTTTTCAGTTTGAAAACTATTAAAATGTTTGAAGGTTCTACCCGCCTTGTGATTCTTTGCAACTGAATAATACCAGCGTGCCCTCGGAGAGCAATTGGAAATAGCCATAAGTCATTCGTCAGTAAACCGTTGTACTCATCGCGTCAACCGTTTTTCGTGCGGCTATCGATTACACTCATGTGGCCATAATGAGTCCCAGAAATTATGTAGAAGACTGTGAGAATAAATTTTTTTCCATTTCTATTGAAGTAACAAAGTTATTACATTTGTATATATATATGTAATTCCTATCGCAAGATTATAGCGGCAAAAATACCCAAGAGAACGGCGCGATTATTTTATTTGAAGCTCTTCTATAGAGCGAAGAGTCATGCATGAAAGTGCAAACCATGACATGTTTTGATTTGATAAACTTCGTAATGCATTTCAATTCAGTAAATAAAAACAATTTCTGTAACGAAATTATTTTTTTCTTTCATTCCTCTTTGTATTTTCCGCATATTTTGACTTTTTGCAAAGCTGTGGTGCCACCTTTCTTTCATTTTAAATAATGAAGAAGTGCGTTGCGATTATCGTAAAAACTTAGTTAGAGAATCGCATAATCGTTAGCGCAAGCAAAAAAAATTCGCAAGTTTGCGATCCGGCAAATCGTATTGGAAAAGTTACAGAACTGTACTACATGTTTCTACTTATAAACTCTCAAAGCCAAAGAGGTTTTATGTTTCTATTATGTATGATACATGTTCTAGGGTTAAAAGACGTAAATAATATTACATAGTAATAAATAACATTGCGCACTACCGTTCGAAAGACTCGGGTTCAAATCCTGGTGTCATACTAACGTCCAAAAAGTTATAGAAAAATAATTTAAATATAGAATAAAATTAAATGTTTTAATTGTATTCGTCCTCGACAGGGAATGTCAACCCCCTGAATATAATAATGACATGAAATAAAGGCTTCTCATAAAAACACATCAGCTATTTGGAATCGGCTTAGTATAAATTAAAGGTCCTTCCATTTGTTGGAAAAATAAAAATTGAAGAAGGAGCTCTTCCGAAAATCCCTTCACCGGTTATATATATACATATGTATATATTTTATTATTATTGGCGACAAGGATCATCCAGCATTAAAGTTGTATTGGGATCTTACAATTTTTATTAATAATAAAGGGTTTTGTCGCATAAGCAAAGCTGCACCGCATAGTAAGCCACAAAATCACATTCATTTCATGTTTAACGGTTCTTTAATAATATTCGAATATTTTATTGTTTATTTTTATTTTTTTGCACACTGGCAAATTTGGTAAATCGACCTCTTTAATAGGTCGTTTCTATCAAGCGTAAACACTGTGTTTGCAAATTTTGAGTTTACGAGAACTGTTAAGTGTTTCCACTGGGTGTTTAATGAGTTAAGTGTTTGAACTTTGTTTAGTGTTGGTACGACACCAGTACTTGAGCCCGGGTCTTCCGAATGGCAGTCCGCAATGCAAACCACTCGGCTACCGTGGCCGCCACATAACGAATCTTCACAATCACACAATATTGACAGTATGTCGAGCAATGCTGATAAGAAGGAAATAAAAATATAGAAAAACTTACGTAAAATGATCATGATCATGATATTGCCGGTCGCATATAAAGAAAATCATGCAAACTCAACTTTAACACGTTGTGAAAAGTGTGTTTGAAGTTAGTATGTGTTATGGGATATATATAGAATTTGGCATGTGTTTATAGTGGTGTTTGCGACTTAACATGCTATCTTCAGCAAACACAGAGCTTACGCTTGGTTGGATCGGCCTTTAAGGTATTCATTCAATACGGACGGCATAGCACAGATAGAAGTGTAGAAACTGGAGAAATTGTGAACTGTCAATTTGATTGATAATGTGAACCACACGTAAGAGTATCAAGCTATAATATTAAAATTTGTAGTTTGGAACAGTGGCAATCCTATCAGCGATGAACAATTTTCATTTATGTGTGAATATTGGAAATTTCGTGCCCTAAAATCTTTTCTCTACATATATGAACATATCTTCAAGTGTTGAAATTTAACATTTAGGGACTAGTAAAATTTTCGAAAACGTTTGGAGTTAGCTATTCAGGACAAAACACGTTTTGTGTGGTAAGAAATCTGAATATGAAGAATGTGTATATGGTGTTTGTTTTCACATAGTATATCAAATGTGTACATGTGTGTATATTTCAATATAAAATATTTTAAAGTGAGGCCTGAACTATAAAGGGAGTGTGTTTTAAAATTAAACAATGATTGAAAATGCTTTAATGCTTCTGTGAATATTTGTGTATGCAGATATTCAAGCATCTAAATCAGTGGACTAAGTATGTCTATTAATTTTTTTTACGGGAAACATATGCATGTGGGTAGTGGAAAACATTTGGGGCTTATAAGCTTATAGCCAATAGTTCGATGGATTTTATATTTTGTGATCATATCGGAAGAAGTGAAGTTTAAATAGAGGCAAAAAATAATATTAGTATACTAATTTCGCAGGTACTATACACCTTTATCGTATTTAGTTTTAATAAAGCGATTTAAAATGTCATTTGTATATAGTGTGCTTATGTTTATGTTAAAGATATAAGGAATATAAAAGTAAATCTCTGTTGACATTGTAAGATAATGGCGGAATGCACTGCTTTTCAGAATAGTTGTGGAGTGAAAATTAAAAAGAAAACAATTTTTGTCATTGATGGATGGCAAAATTTCACTATAACGAATGTAATTTGAGTTGAAAATTTTAATGTTCCAAAAGAATGGTACATAGAAGTACAAGAAATTAGGCATGTATTATTTGCAGTTCATGAAACCTCATTAGTGTACAGGTAGAGTGAATTAACGCTATCTACGAGTAGGAAATGGTGGTGGTGTTAGAGGCATAGGGGGGTTTAGTGTCCAGAGAGGTTTTGGGCTGAGCTTTGCATTATAAGAACAATGCAAGTTCAACTAAAATAAATGACAAATCTTCATGAAAAAGAGAGGAATTTTTGTGGTTGTAACTTAAGTTTACTTGTTATGTTTTACAAATTTATGTTGTTAAGCTATAAATAATTTGTTGTTAAAGTATCTCCGGTGGGTTTTGTTTTCGGTTTGTGAAAGCGGATGGAATGTGTTGCGTGTTCATTCATTGAATTGCATTTCTGAAGTTTTTGGAAAGTGTTTATTTTAATGTGAAGTCGATATTCAGAAATGGCTATTACAACATCAAACTGTCAAGGTGAAGTAGAGCAGTGAATATAAATTTTTTTCATTCCACGAATATTTGATTGTCAAAATAAATTTTCCGTTCACTTGTATGTTTTGCTTGCTTGATTTTCATTTCTGTATAAAAGGTAATTAACTCTCCTTGAATTTGGATCCACTATCTTAAATCAAACCGTAATACGCTGCCTTAACAAAAGATGTTGCTTTTATAATTTTTTGTTCATAAATACAAATTTTTTCATAAATCTTAAAGAAAAGGGGAGAACTTAAAGTTTTTGATCAATGACAGGAACTGGCATTATTGGAGGTATTTTAATATTTGTTTTAACACCATTTTGTTGTAAATAAGATCTTTTTCACATTTTTGTTTAAAAAATTATAGTAAAGGCAATAAAACGCGATGGTAATTGAATATAATATGAATTTTTTAAACACAAACTTACAATAATTGCGTTTATTAGCACATCATTATTGACCAGTGTCGCGTCTTTAACTAAAGGGAAAACTTGTTATGGCCTAGCGGTGATCATCAATTATGTTTAGTTTCATGCAATAACCTTGAAATTGCCATCATATTGCTATTATATCCAGTGGATGGAAGTTAATATTGTCTAGAATCCAAGGATTCTGACTGTTTATAATTATGAGAACTTCCTATTGAGATGCATTACGAAATATAAGATTTGAAAAATTAAGTTCGATATGTAAACTCAAAACTATAATAAAGTTACTAATTGCTTCTACCAAAAGTTACTATTTAGATGCGATACTTGGACACTGTTTTGCGTTCTAGGTATCTGCGTTGAATACAATGCAGTAATGTTCATGAAAACAAAATACAAATTGTTGCATTTGTTATTTTGCTCTCTTCCAAGACAAAAACACACGCGGTAGTATTAAGAACATAGAAACAAAAAAGCTTACGAATTATAGAATCGAATTGTCAAATCGTTTTATTGTCTTTGAATAATAGTTCGGTTTATAATTCTAGATATAGCGAAATTAACTGCTCCATACAAGTAAAAAAAAAACAAATTATTAAATTTAGATTTTGTATATTCACGAATGAAAGCATGTTATACAAATTTAAAGGTAGTTTTTCTTCGAAATATTTTTCACTTTACTTATTGTTTGGTTCAAAAGTCATAAAAGATATATGTATATTTATATGTATGTGTGTGCGTATAAGTTATATGAAATTGCGAAGCCCTCATTTAGACGGCAGGGTTAATCTAAGAAAATAAAGGGTTGACTATGAAAATGAAACCCATTGCATAAACGAGTAGACCCATCAATTAAACTTTTGTTTTATCAATTAAACTAGTTGTTTTATTTATTTATGTGCTGTAGTTTTTCTACAATAGTCTGTCGAAAATTGTATATTTTCATACAATACTATTACTATTTGCACTTCTTTCACTAATTTGGTTATGTAAAACACATTCTATTTAATATTATTAAAATATTAAATTTTTATTTTTTGTTAATTTATTAAGCAGAGATAAATTTTTAAACATCTCACACTTTTTTCTCTAAAAATAAGTGAATGTTATGTATTTTCGCTCTTGTTTCTGTAAAAATATGTATGTGTATGTTATTTATTTTCGTTCTGTTTGTTCCAATAAATCTCAAAAAAAAAAACTGGAGAGGACCCTAACACGCTCCGTAATTTTGAAGTAATTGGCCTTCAAACAACCAATCAAATGGAGAGCTCCACTTATCTCTTCATCTCTATGAAATCGATTAAATTTTTTTTCGGTAAATCTGGTCCTTAAGTTGTAATACCTTCTTTACGAAAGACACTTGAAACATATTTAATTTATATAAGTTAATATTATTTTTGAACACGTAAACATTAAACACTAACAAAACTCGAACCGGATGGGCATTAAGAAGAGTAGAAATTTGAAATAGAAATCGATACACGCATATTTTCTATACAATAAACAATGCCTTTCAAGAATAGATTTTTGAAAAAAAAATTGTGTTTGTACAATTTGTGTGAGTGGTTTATATGAAAAATTAAAACGAACATTTTCCAAAGGGAATTTAATTACTATAGTGCTGCAATCGTAATAAATAAGTTAAATTACGCATTGCTAACCATCCCGCTAACATTTAGGCCGGCGAGGGACGACTATTAATGCTATACTAATTTATTTAGAAATGTGTCTCTGATATTAAAATATATTTTAAAATAAATATATATTTTTCAGGATTTGATACTTGCCTGATATCATTTATCACCATGGAGAAGTTACGTCTCATGAAGGACAATCGGTCAGAAATAATTGTTGGCGGGAAGTACAGAATAATTCGAAAAATAGGTAAGTTATATTAAATAATAAATTCTACTCTCTTCCGAGGGCAAGGTCTTGAGTTTGTGCAATTTGTGTGAAATATGTGACATTTGTACTTTCAAAAAAGTACAAGTGATATGCATTACCATTCATGGCCGGTAAGTAAGGAAGCAATTTGACAGGCTAAACAAAAGGAATATAATTTTTATGCAGAATATGTAAAATCGCCATTAGCTTATTAGTTAAAAAACGAAAATCATACTCATGTGTAAAAATCTGAATGGACTTCTTATCGTATTTTTCATTTTCAATTTTAGGTAGCGGATCATTTGGAGATATTTATCTGGGAATGAGTATACAGAGCGGTGAAGAAGTTGCCGTTAAAATGGAAAGCGCCAACGCTCGGCACCCACAACTCTTATATGAAGCAAAATTATATAGAATTCTAAGCGGTGGTGTTGGTATTCCCAGGATCCGATATCACGGAAAAGAAAAAAATTTTAATACTTTGGTTATGGATCTTCTTGGACCATCTCTTGAAGATTTGTTCAATTTTTGTACACGCCACTTCACAATTAAAACGGTGCTAATGCTAGTGGATCAAATGATTGGGCGCCTTGAGTATATCCATTTAAAGTGCTTTATTCACAGAGATATTAAACCCGACAACTTTCTTATGGGAATCGGGCGTCACTGCAATAAACTATTTTTGATTGATTTTGGCTTAGCTAAAAAATATCGTGATCCTAATTCTCGCACACATATACAATACCGTGAAGATAAAAATTTAACGGGTACAGCACGTTATGCTTCAATAAACGCTCACTTGGGTATTGAGCAATCAAGAAGAGATGATATGGAATCATTAGGTTATGTTATGATGTATTTTAATCGTGGAGTATTACCATGGCAGGGTATGAAAGCAAATAATAAGCAACAAAAATACGAAAAGATTTCGGAAAAGAAAATGTCAACTCCGATTGAAACGCTTTGTAAGGGATTTCCAGCAGAATTCTCAATGTATCTTAATTACTGTCGCAGTTTGCGCTTTGAGGAGCAACCTGATTATATGTATCTCCGGCAGCTTTTTAGGTAAGAAATATACATATGTATGTATAACACGGTGACAGATTATTCTTTAAAAGTCCAAATATATTAAGTTTTTCTATCATTTCTTAGAAGACAAACCTTAAAAAAACCTCCTCATAGAAAAAATATTAGATTCCAGTCTATGCTAAAGACGTATGTATGCATTTCAGACTCCTCCCATATTGTTTTCATATTGCTTGCAACAAGCTTTTAATTTATTATTTTCGAGGAACATAACAAAACTAGTTAAAAAACTCGGTAACAGCATAGGCAATTTCTGACAGGCCGTGCAGATTTTACCAACTTTCTCCTTGTAGGTGTGATCACACATCTTTGTTACACTTATTCAATCACTTCAATAGGAAAATATATAGCTGTCCTCTTCATATTTTGGTTAACAGCCAATGGGAAGTTGATAATTTTTTTTATGCGAAGAAACAAGAATGTCTTACGAAAATTTGAATGTTTGAATTTTATTTTTTCTTTATTGTTGTGTTTGTTTCCTTTGTACACATATGTTTACAATGAAAATAAGCACTGTAAATAAATTTTTATTAGTATTTTAGATTTAGTATTTGGTACCCAAGTTGCATGTAGAACCAATACAGAATGCTTCAATATTGTTGTGCTGCACATTTTCATTTATTAATTTTTCCACTTTGATACACTTGGCAGTGTATCGACCTTGAAAATATCCAGTTTTGAAAACCACAATCCAAATTGTTTAATATGAATCTGTATATCAACAAAATACTAGTAGAAGAATGAAAATATATACACCATCTTATTTTACACCATAGTTCTTACCTTTAAATTTATATTGTTAGGCTTTTCAATCTTTGTTCAGCTATTTTTTCGCAATAAAATAAAGTAAATTTCTAACGAAGGCGAAAAAATAAGAGAACTTGACAACTTGAATATAAAAATTGTAACTGTGTTGGTCACGATACAAAAAAAGGAAGGTGTAGCATATTTTTTTAATTTTAGAAATAAGAATTGGTAGCACAAAAATGCAGCAAAAGTCAAAAAATCTTTTCATGCCAGATAGTTAATATTTTTGAAAAAAAATGTTGAGTGAAACTACTTTGTTTTTTGTTAATGGTGGGTAGTCTTGGCTGGCAGGGTAGTCCTTTCGTTATACACTCACAACTAAGAGAAAGATGCGTGGCCATCATTATATAATTGTAAATTTATTGAATTGAGTAATATGTAATAACTATTTTATTTATTTTCAGAATCCTTTTTAGAACATTAAACCACCATTACGATTACGTGTATGATTGGACCATGTTAAAACAGAAAACACACCAGGGCCAACCAAATCCAGCTATATTGCTGGGACAAGCCGAATCACGTAACGAACGTGACAAAGAAAAGGAGAAGCAAGGCGGAAAGCCGATGATATCTGATTAAATCCATTTCAAAAACAATTTGTGAAATAGCAAGCGTATTTTCTAGAATTAGAACTGGAATTTGATCGTAATAAATAATGCAAATTCATTTTGCACTTCTGATGGATATTGATATATAATTTACAATAATTACTGTACACAATTTGAATTACGTCAATAAAGACTAATTGTTTTAAAACTGATTTACGTGTCACATTTTTTGAATTGAAATTAATGATTTAAATAAAGATATAAATTTATATATTACTAGTCAATTTAGCAACGATCAATGTAATGAAAACGTTACATCATCTGGCGTTTCAGCTTTTTTGTTCTTTGGTAACAGCAAAAAATTTTGAAATTATTCTCGAGCGAAAAAAAAATTTTGAGATCAAATTTGAAAACAACTTTTTAATGCAATCCAATCAAAAAATAGGTGAATAGCACGAAAATAATTAAACCAATCCATTAATATGCAATATGCAAAGGACAAAACAACAAAAACTTATTTTACACATTTTTGACACTTTAAAGAAATTCTTTTCATATTCCGGTTTTCGATTGTACAGAGTTATCCAATAAGAGGAGAATAATTACATATTTTGAGATAAATGATCGGATACTTATTTCAATGTAAATAAGAAGATATGCCATCAATAATGGAACACAACATTAATCAAATCGCAATGTGGCAGCTGAATGACCTCAATAGCTTCATGAATTACATCTTCGAGGTCTTGAGTCGACGTTGGCCTATAAAGTAAGAAGTTACAAGGTACTAAATCACATTCAATGCCGGACATAAAAAAGTCATTAATCATCTCTCGTTACTGTTGCTCCAGCTTCATTTACGAAAAAGAAAAGTCCAATGACCTCCCGGACCATTGGCCCCACCAAACCGTTACACTTTAAGGATGCAGACTTCAACATTCGGCTTTCCGAGCTCCAGATGCGACAGTTTTGGTTATTGGGGAAGCCATCGGGCTGGAAACTGTTCGACATTTTGAACTACAACATTTCTTCACTTTACTAGTCACAAAAGCTCAATTTTTCCAACAATTTCTGTATTGCGGTTGTTGTTGTTGTTGTTGTAGCGGTTCGCTATCTCCGCTTAGGCACAGGTTTGATCAGTCTTAGGCGCCGAGGTCATCAAGTGGGAGGTCCGGGAAACGAGCTGTTTCGACGAGGTTGGACCAGAGGGAGAGGGGGTTTAGATGAGTTGGTTTGAGGTGGCATGTGAAGAGGTGGTTAATGTCGTGCGGGGATTCTCCGCATGCAGGGCATACTTTAGGTATGCTGGGGTCTAGTCTGGATAAGTAGGAGTTTAACCTGCTACAGTATCCAGACCTGAGCTGTGTCAGGGTCACGCGGGTCTCAAGAGGCAGCTCGAGCTCGTTGTCTGTTATGGATGGTGGTTTTTCTCTGAGTACGCCATTCACTGGAAGGGAGCCCTTGAAGGAGTTGACTGACTCCTGGTGAATGGCGTTCAGTGCTTGTCTGTACGCCGTCCTGTCCGGCGGTAGTTGCACATATTGCTGGATTGTGTCCTTTAAGTCTAGTACTCCCTTTAAAATGTGTCTAGGTAGAGGCTCAGCTTCTATTAGGTGCCTAGGAACTGCTTGCATAGCAAAGCATTATGCTCCTTAAGTCGTAGCATAGATGCTTCGCTGTGCAAGTGATGCTCCGTCAGGAGGTTTCCTGTCGCAGTCCTGAGGGCGGTGTTCTGGCAAGCCTCTGTAGCTTCTTCATCTGCGTTTTGCATAGTTTACGACCGGCCGACCGTCTTTACCCCAGGTGCTGCCGGCTAGCGCTTTTAGTATTTTGTTGCGGCTCTGGAGTTTTGCGGCAATTGCGGTCGTATAAGGAGTGTAGGAGTGAAGGCTGTCTACTGTCATTCTCAATAGCTTTGAGTTGTACTCCTTCGTTCAGCTGTTGAAGAGGGTAGCCGAGGATTTCGTCGGTTGTATTCTTAGTTGTCTTGCAGTGAAGAAGTGGGAGAGATTAACGAGGTAGCCGTTCACTTTCGAGCAGAGGTCATCAATATCCTGGCCAGACTCCATTATCGTACAATCATCAGCATAAGAGGTTAGGGAAACTCCTTCTGGTGGTGGAGGTTGTTTCGAGATGTAGAAATTAAACAGTAGCGGGAAGAGGACACCACCCTGCGGAACCCCCCGTATAATTTTCCTGGGTTTAAATGTTACACCTCGGAATATTGCCGATGATTGTCGACCACTCAGGTAGCCCTTGACCCACCTCTGCAACCCCGGCGGTAATGAGGATTTCTCAATGTCCGTTAGTAGCACTGAGTGATTGACTCTGTCAAAAGATTTTGACAAGTCCTGTGCAACCAGGACAGTTTACGCGCAGGGTCGGTTTTGGTTAAGGCCATGGACTGATCTGAGTGTTCTTTAGTGCTGTTGTGGTACTGTGCACTTTTCGGAAGCTATGCTGATGCGCTGCTGCCTCAAGTGTCTTCGCTACTGGGGAGAGGAGAGTTATCGGCCGATAGGACTCTCCTTTGTTGGCTGGTTTCCCCGGTTTGAGTAGCGGGACCACCCTACCCATTTTCCACACATCGGGTATCTTTAGGGTGGTCAGAGACAAATTGAGGACGCTCGTGAGAAATTTTGCTCTCGCTGGTCCTAGGTGTTTCAGCATCAGCATGCATCAATGGATTTGGAGGCTTTCGGCTTCCCGATGAACTCCTGAACCTCCTCCCTGGAGAAATCAAGCACCGCGCTGGTGTTTGGCAGTTTACGCATACGGCGGGTCACACGTCGCTTCGCTTTGTCTACCGAGGGATGGTGTGTGAAAAGTCGGCTAAAATAGCTCGCGCACCTCTTCGGGTCCGACGAGGCGGTCAAAGAAGCTGCTTTCCGACGACCGAAAAATGTTTAAGTTTTACGAGCCGTCTCTGCCAGGTTTTCACCATTTTTATAGTGATTTTCTACAATCACCAGTTGGGCAAATCTGTTGCCAGAGTTGGTGGAATATTCTCGATGTCACGAAAAACAATATACAAAGTTTTTGTGTGAGCTAAGTTTTGTTGCATTGTCGTTTTAAAGTTTTTCTTAATTAAACAAAAATCTATGATTTTCTTATTTAAAGTTGAAAAGCCAAATCGCGTATTTTCATACTTGCAACAATTTATTTCATGTTAGAAGACAAGATAAAACTAAGTACAGTAAACTACTTTAGTTATTAATATAAAGCCACTGAATAAATATTTTCGTTGAAAGCCAATTTGTTTATTCACAATGTGCAATTGAGAAAAAGTGCGACGTTTTATTAAATATGTTTTTTTTTCGCAGGAACTATTCAAAGAAAAATTTTGAAAATTTCAATGGATTTCAATAAATTAATTATTATCATTGCTAACTGATTTAATTTTCCAACAAACCAATGTTTGTTTTGCCTTGTTCTATACGTGTAATTTTAAAGTTTCTTGAAGGATGATCGCTCACAGCCGTTAAAACTTTTTTAGGCCCGATTTTTGTTTTTGCAATATATAACTTTTTGCGACGCATGTTTTTACGTTTTTTCTCTTTTCCAATGAAATTAGCTCTGAAAAATGAATAAATTATTTTCCCGATGTTACAATTTGAAAAAGTAAATATTTTTAAAATGCATTCAAAATAATTTTGTGTGGCCGAATTCTTGGCAATTTATGCATTGGATGGGTCCATTCTTTTTCTCAATTGTACAGGATTTGGTGCAAGTTCTACCTTGTACATGGGTAGATTGTCTTCATTTTTATAAATATTAATTAAGAATCTTATAAGAAAATGTTGATTTGGTTAAAACGACAAAACTCATCGAACTCTTCTTTTGTGTTACATTGAATTTTGGTATCATCTTCATTATTTCATGAAATAAAACTCCATCAACCGTTCAGATGCGGCTCAGTATAAACTGTAGACTCTCCATTTGTTGGAAAAATATCAAGACGTATACAATAAATTGGAGGAGGGGTTCGGTCGAAGATCGCTTCAGTGGTTACAAAGTGCCAATTACAAACATATACATATACTTCTGTCGAACTTTTAAACAGCAGAGTTTCCTTACTAAGTGAGAATCTAAGTCATCGAGGTCATCCAACGGGAGGTCCAGGAAAAGAGCCCTTTTTGTGTTCCATTGAATTCTGGTATCATCTTTGTTGCCTCTGTTTTTTGCGGTAAATTTCTCTCCATCAGGCGGGTTAGAAGTTGCAACTTGTACGCAACATACTTCTATCGAACTTTTAACCAGCGGAGCTTCCTTACTTAGTGCAGAACTAAGTCATTTAACGAATCTAAGGGCCAGGAAAAGAGATGTTTCGACCGGATCGGATCACAGGGAAAGGGTGGTTACATGAGTAGGACTTGAGGGGCATGCAAAGAGGTGGTTATTGCCGTTCGCGGTCTCATTGCATGTAGGGCATACGTTGGGTACGTCGGGGTCAAGTCTGGATAAATAAGAACTTAGTCGACGTCAATATCCAGATCTTAATTGTAACAGTAATACGATAGATATCTAACTATCATGGGCGTTAGCGATCAATGGAACCACCTCTGATGGGATCACCACCCTGCCCCTTCAATCTTCAATCTTTCCGAGTTTGGGTGTTTGAACTTGAAACTCTACCGATGATTTAAGCACGCTTCAAATTACTTATTTATTTAATAAACTGTTTCCAATTTTTTGCCGAGGAAAATGTTTTAACAAACCACTAATGCCAACTAAATGATTTTAACGGGCCTCTTATTTGCTGTGTGTTTGAAAAATGAAGAACGAGACATTTCATTACACCATCGATGTAAGGTTCTGTTCGACCGCATTTTTTAAACTAAATGAACGTTTCAACGACGGAGTTTAATAACTCATAATGCTCGAGTAGATGGGTTAAACACAATCGCTTCTCCATTGAGAGCGTACTGACATTCCGATAAAATTCCAGGTAAAAATCCAATTATATTGGGAGAGTAGTATTTACTTATTAAGAGTAAGTTTAATAATTTCAATAATTTATTTGTTTTTTTTTTTAGTCATTTTAAAATCTTTCATTACAAAACATATTCAAACACCTGGCAGAAACTGGATTAATGATTTTATCCGGCGCACTAATGTCTGGTTGAAGTAGTTTTCTGTATCCGATTCTGATGCCGATGAAAGATAGTTGCAAAATGTTTCATTAAACACTGATATCATATTCTGTTTCATTACCGCAATCTCTTCTGTCGATATGGCATTCGGAAAGCATTCTGAAAATATACGTGTAGATTACAAATTATGTATGTACATATATATGAAGACTATAGGGAAATAATAAAAAATGTGTTAATAATTTTCGAAAAACCAAATTTGCCCATTTCCCATGAAATATACATAAAAAATTATTTGTGGACCAATTTTAATACAAAATTTAATTAACAAAGGGCATGGAATACGGAGAGAGCGAAAACTCAAAGACATGGTAAATATTTTTTTCCTTTGGTGAGAATAGACCAACATTACAAGGTATGCAAAATTTTAGTTTACGAATATTTCTAACTTGATATTAGATTTACTTAAAGAGGCTTTACCTTTTCTAAAATATGAAAGATTTTTACATTTCTATAAAATATTACCTTCACTAACAGCAGAGATGTAACCCCTGCCAGCTGGATTCGATGTTGATCTCACGTAAAAATCCAAGTGTAACCATAATAAGTATAAGGTCTGTTCAATGATAAATACATATAGCGAAAGCTCCCTCTGTCTATTTTCATATTGTTTATTCCATTCGACATCAGAAAGACGAGCTGAAAATAAATTCCAATCATTAGGCCACAATAAAATAAGTCGAAAATGCACTCAACAAATGAAACGATAAAATTTTGTTTCGTAAATGAGCAAAATTAATTTTGGTTAAAAACAAATTAAATCCTTTGGATAATTATTTTCATCTTAATATTTCCAAAGTTTTCAACGGACTCGATTGTAATTTATAGGTGTAGTATTATAAAAAAAAATTAATCCATTATTTTTACAACAGGATGCTTTGGTGATCTGTATGTCGCGTTCTACAAAAAAGATAACTGGGGAAATGTTGATCACTTATTAGTGATTCTACAATTTTTCTTCGATAAAGGCGAAAACTCAAGTCAGGCGGCTGAATAAAACCACGCACAATTTTCAATCCGGTAAATAAAAAATGCTGGATACGCAAATACGCCAAATACGCCTATTGCAATGACTTAACAGTAAAGTAGTTTTATTTAATGGTATGTTAGAGAGTTCTTGAAGAACATATATTCGGAAGGGAGTTTTGTAAGCAATTAATGGCAACGTATATTAATATACTTTTTTGGCAATGACTATATATATAGCAGAAGGTTCTATAATTGCTATGATCATAAGATATTAGTATACTTACAGCACACCTTTAAGTTATGGTAACTCTGTGCAGACAATTATACATTATATCATTGATTATAATTATTATTTATTCAATGTTAACATTGGAAGGATATGTTATTTTTTTTAAAAATGGTATATGCATACTAAATCTCTTTACTAAATTTCTTTACCAAACACAAATCTATATAGATGTAGATCCTTCATTTTGTGGAACTTGGAATCGAACTCCCCTTTCTATGAACTCACAAAACCTAACGGAATACTTTGACAAGAATCCTAAACAGGAGTGAGTTTTTGAAAACAAACACCGTCAATTAAGATACCATACCCAGCTTTACAGGCGGCTCAAAGCTCGATTTAAAAGCGGGCTCTCAATCATGAGATAGCTGGAATATCAATCACGATGGATTTCGATGGTCAAGCTGCTGTCAGATCTCTACAGTGTAACAGTATCACATCTAAAGTGATTATAAAATGTGGAGGCAATCTGAAAAAAATCTCGACTAAATGCAACGCTGCCATAGTTTGGGTGCCCGGACACTCCAAGCAATTGCACGACAGATGAACTAGTAAGAGAAGGAGCCCTTCTATCCAAAATTACGCATGTGCACGATGCTGTTTTACCTTTGTTATGGTAAAGTATAAGCTAAAGCTAGCCTTTGTCAAAAATTTCGAACACAAGATGGCAGATTGAGATCATTTGTACCAGACATAAAAAATTACTTACCGGAATTATCAATACTAGCGTCGGCCATGTAAGATCTGTGCGAAACAATATTATCGGTAATTCGTTTTTGGTTCTCAAGATATTCCACCGAGCCTTGTAAGTGATTTAATACAGTGATGAAGTCCAGGGATTCATTCACAATTCTCTCCAATTTCTCAATGCTGAAAGAATGTCATGAATACAAAATCGAAGATATAATATAAACTTGACTCATTTAAAAGAATTGTGTTAGTAAAAAAAAATTAAATTTTGTTATTTGTTCTATCTTACAATGCCTTTAAAGTTTTTACGTAGTATTTTGAGTGAAACAATTATAAAACTTGTTTGCCCATTCCGATGCAGCTAACTTTGAAATTTGAGATTTATCACTTGAAATTAAAATTAAAAATTCGAAAAACGGATATCGCTTTCGGGGTTTTATTAAATGGATACCTGACAGCTACATTTCTTCTAACAAAAGTGCTCTTAAAATGACATTCATTACATAGGTATGTCTGCAAAAAAACACATCAATTATGATAACATCATCAACTTACTTTTTTTGTGGTGTATTCTTTTTTGGAGCGAAGAGAATTTCGCGTAAATCTATTGCATATGCAAATTTATACCGGAAAAAAGTTGTAACATTGGCTGCGATGTCGACGAAATATTGAATGCAATTATGGCCGGAAAACTCATGAATCTGGGCATCTGGTTTTTTGTTTCTCTTCAATATGTCATTATTCAGTACAAAATAACAGAATATTTGTAGAATATACTTATTAATTTTGTGAGTGTAAATCTTATTTTGGTTTGATTTCATATCGTCCTCTAGGCACTTATCCTAAAAAAAATTAATTATTGATTTATATAAATACAAAAGTATACATGTATTTAAATATTTAAAAATATTTGTAAAATAGTACCCTTTGAAAAGTCCGAGCAATTATTCCCGTAACTGCAGAAAGCTCTTTCATAATCCCCATATCAGAGTGAGATAATCCGGTTCTTAATATGAATTCGATGATTTCAAAGTGGGAGAACAAAAAACTAGTTATCTGGGAAATTGCTGAGAAGTTGTCAGTGCCAAGAGTTGTTATCAGCGCATTGCACAGCTGTAGAGCAGGGAAGAATATCTGGCGGTAGCGGTTGTCTACTGCAGGTAAAAATTCGTGTTCAACTTTTTGGCTTTGTAAACATCCTTGGAAATTTGGATGTAAATCAAACACTCGCATTTTTGACAAAACACTTAAAAGCTTAGCCGAAAGCAACATTTCCGCTCCCATACTACAATTAGCGAAGCGAAGCAATAGGGCCATGTGCGATTCATAGACATATAATGCTTTAATATTTTTAATTGAGTCAGTTACAATAAGACACAAATCTTGGTCCGATTGCTCCAAGTTTTCTATTACATTAGCTAAATAACCTCTATTTGTAAATAAATGCAATATACTTGGAATCGAATTAAACTCTAGAGCCGAAACGAAACATGACATCGCAAGCATTTTACATATATCATGCCCAATGACACAATCACGACACATTATATCAATTAAATTATCTCCAAAAGAAGAAAATAGTTCGATGGGAACTTGCGATCCGGCAGAATTATTTGTAGGTGTAAATTTTTTATCTAAGCGAGAAACAAATCTGTAAAAGAAAATAAAGTTATAAAATTAAAGAAATATTTAGCAAAAATTTTTCTTAATAATAAAAAATAGTTAGCACATACGATTCGTTATTACTCATTGTTGTGTTCTCCAAAAGATGCCCATTTAACATTCTCAGGCAACTCAATACTGCAGCATACAAGTTTATTCGAAGCTTCTGGGACTTAACGTCACTAATAACTATCCACTCTAAAAGTCGTTTCAGTATTGATTTCAGATTTAAAATGTTCGAATCAGCGCTAATAACATTTATTGATTTCAAATTGTCATAGTACGACTTATTCGATTTTTCCACACCTATAAACACAAAAATATGTATGTGTTATTACATGCAAATATAATATATTTTAAGTCAAATAAATAAATATGTAAGCGATTTTCCAACGAGCTTCAGCCTGATCTCCATGTACGACTTCACAAACATTAGGAGACATTGTTTCTTCAGAATGCCGATCGCATTCTGTTTTATTTTTTTACAGCTAATCGCAGGGGAAACTCAACTTGGTAACAAAGTGTAAATTATATGTATATAATCGTAAACAGAACTGCGAAAAGAATGTATGATGCTAAAAAAAAAAATCTATCCGAGTTTGTCCTCTTTAGGATTATTTTATTTTTCATTCAATTAAGTGTGCCCAATTAATTAAAAGTTTATTTTTTACATTTTTTCTCTTATATTGTTCTATTTACGAGTATAATTCTCACATATAATAAAAAAAAAACTCCTCATAAAAATTTATCGGCCGTTTGGAGACGACTTAGAATAAACTGTTGGTACCTCTATTTGTTGGGAAAATATCAAAATGCGTACCACAAATTGAACGAGGAGCTCGGAAATTACTTATTGCTCATTGCTTGTAATAATATATTTAAAAAAAGTTTTATTTTACGTTCCAAAATGTTTTTATTTAAACAAGATTCCTTAAAATTAAATATTTGCATTTCTTAGATTTCCATAAGAAGCATTTACTATTTGAGAAACTTACCAGTACTCTCCGAAATCCGTGAAAAGCATTGCCTCAGACATACGATAAGCATAAAAATAGCTTCGGAAGTTAAAACTGATATCTCTAACGGAGGTTGAATGGATACAGCTTTGTTAAGAAGTTTTTGCAACATTTCAAATAAAAGTTCTTGCTTTATGGAACATGGCAAAGTATTTTCAGATGCATAAATAAACAAAATTTCAGAAACCTGAAAGATATTAGTGAAATTTTGCACGTCAATAGTATGTTTATTTAGTTGTATAGTTTTACCTGTGCCCATGAATCCATTACTTTTATTGTTCCTTTGTTTTTATTCCTCATTTCATTTATTTTGAGAGCATATAGTAATATTGATTCAATTTCCTGCAGAATTAATTTTCGTTGTCCGCCAGCTATTGTTCCTTGTACATTGCATAGCTCGTCGTGAAGTATTTTATGCAGCTTTTGCAAATTAATTAATGAGTGACCTTCCTCAGTTTTTGATTCACATTCATCAAATATTTGTTTGGATAAAGATATATCGAAAAAGTCCCATTTAGGGCTATTTATATCTTTCGAATCAAACTCTAACCAATCTAGAATATTACTAAGTAAGAAATTTGGTACTTTATCCGATTTCGGTTTGATGAAATGTTCATTTAAAACTGGTGACGAGTGAGAAAAAAATAGTGATGAATTCATTGAAATGTGATCTTCATTCTTGTTAGTTGCAGTGCCCAGTAAAATTTCGCTAACTTGTTGAACTCTACTTATTTGACAATGAGTACTTGCTAGCTTAAGCTCTATGGCAGTGCATTCTAATAAATAACTTGTCTGGTATAAAATATTCGAATATTTAACATTTTTAAATGGGAGTTGACGTAAATGACGACAAATAAAATCATTTGAGGATCTTAAATATCTCAAAATTCCTTCTGATGTACGTGTATTTGAACATAACAAAAATAAAAGTAAATATGAGCTCTTGATGATTTGCTCCAGATCTGCATCGTAGATGTTAGAAGTTTGCATCAGCTGTAATAGTTTCGGTATTTCTTTTGAGTATTTGTATAAATTATATAAGCTAAAACGCTTCTTACCTCTAAATGATGGTCTAACAAAGCAATTATTGCTTTTAAACAGTGATTAGTGGAATCGGTAATATTGAGTTTACGCCTTTCGATTGCTTCAGTCGTATATTCAAAGCCAAGAAGGTAAAATCCGATATTAGGGTAGGGTTGTGATATACAATTTCGAAGAAATTCTACCACAGAGGATTTAATTTTTAAATAAGTCTTTTGTGATTTCTCCAGTTCGTTAAATTTTGAGTAAAAATTGGGAGAAGAAGAACTTATATCCATATCCAAACAATCGACGAATCCTTGACGAATTTCATCATACGTACGCCCGTTTGCAATAAATACATCCAATATTTGAGTTGATATATTTGGCATTCTTGAAGCCATATTAAGGATATTTATGGCAGCAAGCGAGTGATTAGGTAGCCAATTACAATAAACTACAAATTTAGTTATATTTAACAAATGATCCGGTCTTTGGCTACGTGGATTAACATCTAAAATGATTTTATTCAAGCCAAAAATTATATCTGGAGTATTTGCAATAACATGACAATCCAAAAACTCCTTTTGTTTGATTAAACCCTCCTCGATGATCAGTAGACATAGTAGGGCGCATTCTTCTAGCACATCTTTTTCAACGAACTGCTCATATTCATCAAGCTTCTGTCGAGCATCATCAATTATTACCAGAAGAAGGTTCAAAAAATGGGTTTTTTTTTGTAATTGCAGCATTATATAATAACCCATTGGAGTGCTGTGATTATCCAAACCTTCAAAATCTTTGGGCGTTGGCTCATAGACTTCAAGTAAATAATACATAATTTTTAAGCATTTCAAACAGATTTCCCATTTCTCTGTCAGGTTTTTATATTGTCTGTTGATGAAAAAATATTAACTCGGTATATTTTTATTTAAATGCTAGACATATGTATGTATTCGAACAAAATCTTAAACTTTATTATACTTATATACAAAAAATAGTTTATTAGGAAAATGACTTAAGACAAAGTTGTAGTATGGAACAAAACATTAATAAATACTGTTATTATTTTATTTGTAACACTTGACTCACCGATCGTAGAACTTAAAAAAAATGTCGTCGGTAACGAATGTTATGTAAGGTTGTAACCCTGGTCTTCGATGGTCTGACCCCAAATTTTTAGGTATGTAGGCTTTGAGTAAAGAAAATATCAAATCCAATATTCCTTGAGATAGTGGATAGCTTTCCAGGCGGGACTCGTTCTGTGATATTTCCGTTAAAAGGTTGCACGTATCTAAAATAATACAAATATTTAAAAATTATAATCTTCTTTTAATCACATTCGAAGTACGGATAAAACTGCTCTGTAGTTTATATACGTTGTGAAAAAACAAAAATGAACCGTCGTAAAGAAAAGAACAAAACAGCATATATTTATTATTTGGTAATAATACTTACTGTGTGTGCCTAATGGAGGCAAGGTTGGTATAATTTGAGACGTCTCGAGGATATTCCAAAGAATTGTTGCTGTTTCTTTAGACTTGCCTAATGCTGACAAGGTTTGCAATATATTCCCTTTTAAAACGAGCGGGACCGGGCAGCTTAACAAACCTTTAACATAAACGGAGAAAAAGATAATTATACAACTTTGACATTCACTATTTTGTGTCTGCACATGAACATGGACATTTAAACATTTCCCGATTAATTGATTCACTTATGTATATGCAGAAATGTGCACAACATCCAAACAGAACATTTTATATCTCAGTTACGAAATTAAATGAAGTTAAATTATAATAATAAGTTATCAGTTTCAGCCCGAACAAAACAAAGTAGTAGTAGTTTTCATTTACCTAAAAGTATTTGTAACGGCGCCCAATTCGGATTTTCACATATTGCTATTCTAGAGAGTTCATCGTAGTTGGCCACTGCTCTCACCACCTCGAGTACCGCTTGAAGAGCTTCAATTTCCTGGGGGTTAATACAGCGATTCATATGACTTTTGTAGGATATTTCACTACCAATGCAATGTTCTTGCCTTAAGTTTCTAAAAACAAACATCGAATGTGCTTAGATAAAAGTCGATATTTTTATTCAAATACATGGCATTTTAAATATTAATTATTTATTAAACCTACACCTTTATTTTAGTCATGAAATAATGGATCGTTGGTAATTTTTTTTCTGCAAATGGAGGGAACTACAGTTTTCACTAAGTCGACAGAAGCTTAATGATTTTCTAATGAACTTTTTATTTGAATATTGCTTTGGGGATGGTGCGAAACCTTGGCCCGGCTAATGCGGCCGCAACAGACTGTCGGTAATTTTTCCGTGATGGTCAACATTAATATTATTAATATGGTCACATGGCATTATCCGGTCATGATAGGAATATGACTGAGTATTTGTCACATAAAATAAATCATTATATAGCGTTCCTCGACTAAACATAGTAGGCGGGTTTAATAATTTTTGTTTTATATAAAAGACTTATTTCTCATCCACTAAAATTTTTCATTTTAATTAATAGAAAATAATTCGCACACATATAATAAAGAGTTGCAATTAATTATACGGAAGTCTGGTTGCTGGTTAGACCTGGATTATTTATTTCTAAACAGTAAATATGAATATATTCCAGGTAAACTTTTTATATTTTAATGCAGAGAGTTTACAGAAATGCATCATAATTTGCTACTTACGAATAGTACTGAATGAGAGACCCAAAAAAGTGCTCCCAAGACAAAGTTGTGCTCCCGGTCAATCCAGAAGCTTGTTTCAGGAGATTAAACGTGTTGCGAGCAGATTTTTCGCAGCTAGTCAAACCAGCTATCATTTTTAAATACGATACAAACAAAGTAGATGGCAATAATTCTCCAGCCAAGCGAATAAATTTAAAAAGCGCCACTGAACGCGTGGTAGTTTTCAATGAACTGAACGTTGAATCAAGTGGTTCCCAAAACTCGACACATAGAGAAAGTCCAGCTCTGTTGTCTTTATAAAATTTGGCTATACATAACATCAGCATTTCAAAACTATGGTCCAAGTTATATGGAGGCTCTAATCCTTCTTTGATAAATCCCATAACTGTGCGCGCGGTTTCATCAGCCTTTCCTCGTAATTCTGTTACTTTAGAATGCATAAATTCAATGAAGTCAGTTATTAACATATGAATACGACGATAAAAAAACTCATGCCTGAAATTGAAACATATTAATTCAATTGGTTTTGTTTCCTTATTAAGAAGAAGTATACATACCTATATAAAGCCTTGTTTTCCAAAACATAATAGTGTAGAAATTCAAATACTTTGCTATTAATAGACGCATCAATGAGTTGCTCATCATATGCTATTATTTTCGACGTCGAATTCGGCACTTGCACAGAAGCATGTCGAAATCCAGTTAAGGCTAAACCGAATGCAAGTTTTATTGTTCCGGTCAGACCATCTTGTGGAGATGAGCTTAAAGTGTCATACACAGTTTGTAGAAAATCTTCTTGTGAAAGTATAGGAACATTTTGCCAAATATTGGTGGGCGCTTCATATTTCATTAGCACACTAGTATCGCACGCATACAATAATGCGAAGAGAACCTTCAACGTTGTGTCATCTACTATTCCAGATGATTGGACTTGTGCATAATTTGATATATTTTTAATCAGCTTAGAAACTATTTCTTTAGGAAGCCCTCGTTGGGCTGACCAGTAAAATAAAGAGCTTGCTAATGACATCCGTATATCACTGTACAGTTGTTGCACTTGGTTCTGATGTTTTTTTGACCCCAATGCCCGATTTTTTGTTAATATGACGATCTAAAAAGAAAATATTATTATTAATTTATGTTTTTGCATATAGTATTACTTATAAAATATAGCTAAAAATCATTTCAGCGGATTCAAAGCGCTAATTATATATGTATATTTTAATTAATTTACTTATTTTATTTTATTTTTAAATCCGTTGGTAGATTTTCTTATCTTTACTATCTATATCAACAGAAAACAATAAAGCAGAGTCCAAAACTTATCAGCTAAATTCAAAACAAAGTTTTCATTAGCTCTTATCGAATTCGACATTTAGAAAAAATCATAATAAATAATATGATCTGAAGAATTAATGGCTAAGTTATTGTAAATTAACAGCATCTAAATAATTGCGAAAATGTGTCTAAATAAATAAAATAATAAAAAGTGACTCACCTCATTCGATATATCCAGCTCTTCCAGTAAACTAACTATTCTTTCGAGAATATTATATTGATTGACTAAGTTTTGGGTGAAGGATGTAACTAAATTGGATACCTATAAAAATAAATTTCAGAATAATATATACAAATTCTTTTTATAATATTGCACAAATATTTATATAATAAGACTTAGACAATTTGCTCCAAAATAAAGTATATAAAAATGAACAGAAATACATAAATTAAAAAAAAAAATCAAAAAATTATGGCTGCTGAAAGGCCTTGGGCCAGCTGCGAATATTTTGCATTTTGAATAAGCAACCATTTATTTTTTAACTGTAATTAGACTGCAGATGTCAAACTCTAAGTATTGTCAGTGAAGAAAGATAATAAGTGTTAATTTCAGTGCGCATTCCGCGGTAAGAAAAAGGTGGCAAGAGTAATACTATAAAGAAATAAAGAGGTAAGTTGTATTTTTTTTAGGAAAAATCATAAATCATATTAAGTATTAAGTTTTTTTTATACCCTTTAAGGTCCTGCCGAAAGGACGATGCTTGTAAAATGAAAAGAAAGCTATTATAGCGGCGCATAAAGGAAACGACTTGAGTAAAAAATTAAAAAAAGTAAATTCTACAGTCATGTTAAAATCACATCTAATTCCATTTCTATAGTGCTATCATCAACAATTTGACCTTAATGGCTTCCTGTAATTTTTTTGTTACCATTAGTTTCTCGGAATTCTTGCACATTTTTAAATTAATTCTAATAACTCTAAATTTGACATTTGCGGATTAATTACAGTTTAAAAATTAATAGTTGCGTATCCACAAAATGCAAAATATTCGCAGCTGACTCAAGGGACGTTAAATTACGGAACTGACATTCGACTAAACGACTAAACGAAATACGTGCAATGTATGGCTGCGGCGGCGATTTCGTGTTTCAAGTCAAGAAAGGTTTGATTTATTTTTTATGCACTGTACGATCACGTACGGAAGTTATTTTGTCAGACAACTAACGGTTTTGGCGAACTCCGTAAGTGCTTTAGAGCTAGATTAATAACTTGCAGCCCGAGTTACGTGTTGTGGTCTGATCAGTCTTTCAGTTTTATTACTATCTATAAAAATTTTGCTTACTTGCCTCAGCAATGCAGCTAAAGTCCCTTGAAAAAATTAGTGAGGCATTGCAAAATGTAAACCTTAAATACATACATGCAAATATGTAGGTAAACCAATATCAATTCTTTAAATTATGATTTATTATTATTATTTGGAATTATGCTATAGTTTGAAGCTAATTTAAGAGATTTCCCACCACCTCCTTAACAATAATAATTTTTTAATGTTACGTCTCTTATGAACCATGAAAACATATCAAATTTTAGAAAATACAAAAACCTAAAGAAATCAAGAGGCTGAATGTCCGGTCAAATAAAAAATTAAAAAACCAAGAAAATACATACCTCTTTTGGAACTTCAGTCACCCAAGAAATACCATTGGTTGCCCGAAAGAGATCTCGAAGAGTTTGAACAAGCGCTCTTTTGCCATCATAATAAAGTAAAACAGCAACTAGTCCTCTTGACAACCCAGGGTGTTTAAACAACTCCCGCTGAGCAGTGCAAAGTAATTCTAATGCCATAATTTCATCGACATTAAACATGTCAGATATTATTAAAGCCTCGTCTACTAACTCCTTTGAAATCGTAATATTCCGCGTATATTTCGATATTGATACGCCGTCTATTAGGCCATTTTTCAATAATTGGCGATGTTTTTCATTCTTTTGCTGGAAAGACATATTAAATTATTTTAGCTTATGTAATCCAATATAAAATTATAATTATATGTTTTGAAATTGCGGTCACTCCCGGGCAGGGAATGTAAGTATATTTTTCACAGAATCCTCATAAAAAACCATAAGCCGATCGGAATGGGCTTATTATAAGCTTGCAGGTCCCTCCATTTAAATGAGTGTTGCAAGAGGTAAAGTGTAAATAAAATATTATACGAGTTATACCTAATTGAGTTCTCATCAAATTGTCTAATAAGTTTTTTTTTTTGTTTTAGAAAATGAAAAGTCGTATTTATGCGTAGAATGCGCCCCTTTTCCATTCGTGGCCACACTAGACTAGGGGAATAATAAATGTACAATTTTTGGAATTCATATTATTCACCCGAAATGGATGAATATCACGGCGAACCAAAATTTTTGTCTGCCACTCACATTCTCCTTCGGCAGGAAATTTCAAGTGCTCCGAGTATGTTCTTAACATGAAATAAAAGCGCATTGCTTATTTTATGATCTAATTTCATATAAGACCTTTTATTTGGAATTGTTCAAAGAATTACTCTCCAGGCACTATAATCCTACTTTCGTAAATTACCATTCCTCACAAATCTCTTTGTTCTTATAAAGAATGCAAATATTTACTATTTTCCAACAATTCGAGTTACATTTTTTATTGTACATTGTACACAAAAAATTTCAAAGTCCTAAAGGAAAACTTCTTTATGGTAATTTAAATTCAGTGAATTTGAATACGATCATCTAATGGTATACTTTATTTGATTCGAAATAGGTAAATACGAGAAGAAAAGGGAGAACCCAACTAAATCAAACTAGGTATCAGGGATAAATTTTTATACTGTATCAATAATTTGTTCTGAATTGTCGGAACAGATCAAAATTCGAAAAAAGCCAACTCAAATTCAATTGCCCTATTAATTTAGTAACATAACGTCGCAAATAGTTGGTACATATGATTGACAAATGTCTATTTTCAGTTATTTTTGTATAGGCATCAATTATGCAGTTTTCGAACGCATAAAATTGCTCAATATTGAATCGTCATATCTTAGAAATACGTTAGTTAAAACAATACATGTTATCATTCCATGAAGTATGCGTTTTAGAATCATCTTATCCCTCTCTCCCTCCCGCCAGAACTTGGCAACACAGCTACCTTGTAAGCGTGGTTAGACTAGCGCCTACAAAGACGCTGATTAGATCACGACATCTAAATGAAAGAAGGCACTGCAGCAGGAAGAAACAAAGGAAGGAGCTTCGCTTCCATTTAGAAATCAGGTGGAAACGAATAGGCGTCTATTGTTAATTATAGCATCTGATTTGTCAATCACAACATGGAAACGATATGTATGTATTCGGGTATGTCTCACTTGTTATTATCGACGATTTAATTAAGTTGTATTTTACCTTAATACGTGAGCAGCGCTTTCTGCCCACGGGCCGTCAAATACCGGCACCAATTTAAAGTAAACATAAACCAGACTTCCTAAAGTAAACTTAATAGACAAACTAGAGATAAAAATTTTCTACACGATGTGTCAGAATATATAACAAGTTGTGACATACCGGGTATATTAGAAGCGAAGCAAAGCTTTGTTTATACTTCTTGAAATGAACCTCCAATTCAATAACTGATTGTTCTGTGGGGCTGCACAGATTCCTCTGTACTACAGCATTTAAATGCTTATAGGGTGTCCACATATCCTCCATTGGTCCTAAGAAGTTTTCTGGACACTGCTTGCAACACTTCAATTTTTCCATTTTTCGATCTTTTACTATTGCAGAAATGTGATCGAGTTTCAAATATGAGAAACAAACCTTGCGCCAAAATAAACTTATGTTAGGGCTGCCAAGACATTTATAATTATCATGTTGATAGAAGCACTTTATGCAGCCCATAAACTACACATTGTCATTTACATAACAAAACTTGTAAATTCGCTTCGTGGTTTCGGCTCTTCACGTTCACGATAACATTGTTAGAAAAATTGTCGCTTCTTATAGCAAAGAACGTATATTAATAAGAAGGGAAAAGAACTGTGAATTGTTTACTGAAGTGGCTCAGGTTTCACAGACGGAGTGAGTCCGCTTTGGACCTTCTTTCGCAAATTATTGTAAATTCACCTCGAAGGGGTAGTCTTCTTATGTTTTCTCGGCATTTTTACGGCGACGATGATAACAAAAATGACAAGTAGGCAAATGATGCGAATTCAGTTTGAATTTATTTCAAATTATTTTAAATAATTTTACTTCCATATTTATTCGATGAAATAAATTAATTTTCATAATGAAATGAAATAGGGTGAAATCATAAACATCATTATTGTATTTATATATTATATATAGCAATAGCAAGTGACGATTTGCCGTCGGCATTCCGCAAATAGCGTTGTTTTATATGAAAGGTTATTTATTCATGAATTGAATTTTTATAAATTAACTAGATGTTTGGTTAATAATCTTATTAACTTATAAATCAATTTGTAGATACATATATACGTACGTATGTACTTATACATAATACAAAACAATGGCCTGCTTCAAGAATTACTTGCATATGTGCATAAATATGTACATATATATGTATGTATATTCATATACTCATATGCAAAAACATACACACACATTATTTGCGTGAAAACAAATTACCCCATCCCTCAAAATACTTCTCTTGTCTAAAAGCTCAGAACTGAAATCAAATACAACAATAAGATTTTCATTCATAGACGCCTGCGCCCTACAACAAAGTTGCTTCTTCGCTGCGTTGACAAAAATCACAAAAAATCGGAAGCAAATATGGTCGCGGAAAGTGAAGCACCAACAACATACATTAGTATGCCCTTCTTCCTTCAACCCGTAACATTCATGAGCCGTCCACAAGCATTTCTTCAAATTCTTGCCACTGACAAAAAATCAGTCATCGTCTGTAGAAATGTAACAAATCGACATCGTGCTATTAGATTTTCTATTCGCCTGTTAGCTCATTTTGCCCAGCAAGCAATTTCCTTGCCTTCCCGCATGCCCTTTCTACAAGATAAGATGATAAAAAATAGTCTAAATATTCCAGAAGATTCTAGAATGTTCTAGAATATTTGATTTCAATGAAGAAAAGTAGAATAAGCATAAAAGCAACAAAAACAAGTATTGCATGCAAACCCCTCTTTCCTTCAACTCTTCATCAACAAACAGTTTCATGAAGTCGAAGTCAAATTTTGCAAAAATCCAGAAATTGAAGTTGAGCAAAAATCACAAACCCATACATTGAAAACTTCATATACATGTAGAAAATACAAATACACACAAAGTATTGTGAGATCCCTTTTCCTTTGCTCCCTCCACCGACAAATTTTGTCAAAAGTCAGAAATTGATGTTGAGCTTGTGACAAAGTAAAAACCCATACACTCAAGCAATTCAATATGTATACGTTAAACGCACACAATCTTAATAGCTCGCATGCCCTTCCTTCTTTCACCCCGTCATCCACGAACGACTTCTTCGGGACGATGGCAAAATTTGCAAAAATCAGAAATTCAAGTTGAGCTGAAGTCAAAAACAAACACATTCAAAGGTGACTGTATGTATATGAAAGACCCATACATACATGAAACCATGAAAAATACAACATTTTTATTCATAAACGCATGCGCCCTGCAACAACGCAATGTGTTCATTCATAAATACCACTGCTCACATGGCTCCGCTTCCCCGTCTCAACATTTGCTTCCTCGAGACAACCACAAAATCAACCTTGTAAGGAAGACTAAATTCGAGTGGAAGCGAGATATTCGGCTGATATTTATATGTTTAAAACGTCTCAGTTCTTACTCGAGCTATGGTGTATTAAGACGGAGTGACAGACATTACTAAATCGATTTACTTCACCATTCCATGAAGTTTTTTACATAGTTTATATATTCTTACTTTGATTATTTTAAAACCGTTAGCAGAACAAATCCAATACACCCTGTTCACATAGTACGGCCGGGTATAAAAAGTCCCGTAACAAAAATTAGCAAATCGTACATCTTCCCGAAATGTGAAGCAACAACAATATATTGTACATTGGTATGTAGCATACACTAGCATTGCTTCAAATTCTTGCGAGTTTGACAAAAATTCAGACTATGTCCGCCGAATTGTAGCAAGTCGGCATCGTTCTGTTAAATTTGCTGTTTGCCTATTAGCTCATATTGGGAAGCAAGTAAATTCAAGCTGTCCGTCCGTCATATGCTGGGCAAAATGCAAAAATTCTAGATTTTAGGGATAAAGTGCGAATCCCAAGCTATGGCCAAAGAGGGAAGTAGAGGCGTGTTCGGGGACACATATATTGCTTTCATATTTTTATGCATGTCTATCGTTTCGCGCGCATATTCAAACGATTTTTGCCAACTCAATCGGCTCATTTTTGTTTTGGTACGAAATTTCGTTTCGCCGTCATATTTGCCCCGCTGTGCTACGAAAATCGCGAGAAATTTGAATCTCGCTGTGGCACCTCACTATTCACCTCAGCAAAATTTTTCAAATTGGTTCACAGTTCTTTTCCCTTCTTATTAATATACGTTCTTTGCTTATAGCCAGTCGATGTAAAAATGTTCGCCGGAGGCAACTCTCCTAGTCGAGTCATATTGTTCCGATTTTACTAAATCAACCTCGATTACTTTCTAAATCCTTCGGGTACGATCTCTGGATTGTTAAATAAAACTCGCCAACTTAATTTGCAGTATCTTTCGTTATAAAGATTTGATCTAATGTCCTTTATTTACTCCGTAATTCACAATTCAATTATAAGACACTTTACTAGCTACAATCACTTGCATCAACTTTCACAATTTACTCTACTTAAATGTAATTCCCAACGCGTTCACTTTACGACTTAACTGATGTTAGCGCCAACGAGCTCACTTTATCACTAACTTACTTGCAGCTGAGTGTCGCCTTTATATAGCAGTCGGCTGCTCGCAGACGAAAGCGTAGAAGCATCGAATTGTTCGCTATGGAAGGTTCTTGTTTTATCGTTTCTAGAACGTACTAGTTATCGGCTTCTCTCTTTCATCTGACATTCGCCTCGCATTTT